CCGCAGCCGTGGCGCACCCGGGGCGGCCGGGGACGCAGCGCACCGAGGCGGCAGAGCGCGCGGGCCGGGGGCCGCTGTCAGGCGCCGGCGGTGACAGCCATGTTGCCGGGGAGCGCCGCGCCGCGTTGTAAACAAAGAGCCAAAATGTCTTCCAGGAAAGAGCGGCTCCCGGGGCCGGCCGGCTCGCCCAACTTTGCGGTCAGGCCTCCGGGGCCACTGTGGCTCGACCTGAGGCCTTGTGCCCGGGCGATCTTCCTAGGCCAGGGGCTAGGAGGGCGGCCGGAGGAGTAGCCAGGAGGCAGGTATGGGGAGGGGGCTCGGAGGATAACTAGACATCGGGGGAGGGGGAAAACGGAGGGCGGGAGTGAAGGCCTCCCCCCAGAGGACTGGGACCTGGGGGTGTCTGTTTATGGAGCGCTACTTCTTGCTGTTGAGTGGCAGCCCCCTCCCCCCCTCCCATCCAAACAGCCCAGCTCTACGGGGAACAGGAAAGGGATAAATCCACCCCGGCCTGGGAGCTGGGCTCTTCCCAGGTAGTTATGTCCACTCTTTCCTATTCATGGAAAAAGACCTAACCCTGAGTCGCCTGGAAGACTTAGAGGTTTTTGACTAGATAAGCCAAGAATGCATTTAATCTCTGTAGGTGAAGACATATAAAGCACAGGAAACAGAAGTGGTTCAGGCCTGGATTTGCTTTCTTCTCTTTTCCAAGCTGGCCCCAGGCCTGGGCCTTTGCCCTCCTGGCCATAAGGTATCCTGCTCTCCACTGGGCACAGGACGTCCCTTCGCTTTAGAGGTCTGAATGCCTCCTTTTCCCCCCTCTAGTTACCGGTTTGCCCTGCTGGGGGAGGAGGGCCCCATGATAGCGATCATAAAACACACTCCTTCAGATCTGTTGCGGCTTCTGAAGTGTATTTTTTGCCATTTCTCACCCTCAGTGTCCTGGCCCCCAGCTCCCTTCTCAGAGTGGGAGAGTTCTCGGCTTTGCCTGGAGAAGCTGCCGTGGGTTCCTCTGCTGTGTCTTGTTGATGCCATGCATTCCTCTAGTTAAAAAGGACCAGTGGTGGCGGGGGGTTCTGTTTTGACCCCTTTAACCAGCTTTTCTCTTGGAATGGCCCGTGTTGTGTATAAATCAAAAAACAAAACCGCATAGGAGTATGATGAGAATTATGCTGGCTGCAGGACTGTGGCAGTTGAGGCCAGGCTCTTGTTATAACCAAGAGGGGTTCATCTCCAGGGGGGCCTCCACCCGCACCTGACTGAGGGGAACCTGCCATGTGAGCCTGGGAATGTCCTGCCTCTGTGTCCTCTCAATGGGGCCCTCGAGGTTTGTTCCATCAACTGGTCATTTCAAAAGGCCCAGGCTTCCGGCTCAGCGGCTCTGTGCTGCCTTCAACAGAGAGGCTCGCCTGCGAGAGCCGGGACTGGTGATCTTTTTAGGTTCTGTTGCTCTTTCCCTGCAAATCCCCAGGGTTTGTAATCCTTTTGAAGCTTCCCTCGAGGGCTGTTGCTGGTTTTGTAACAGATAGTATGATTGTTGTCCCCTACGAGTGTACTGTGTATTGAATACCTAACCAGCACCTGAGAGAACACCATCCCTGCCCTCTTGAAGCTGGTCATTTTTTTAAGAGATAATAAATCAAAGGAAAATGTTACATAAAAATACCAGAAGTGCCCCAGGCCATGAGTAACTGGTAAATAGTTGTCCTGTAGATTACTGGACATAAACAGTTGGAGGCATCTTCCCAGATAAGAGGGGGATGGGCTCCCGGCTTAGATTGGGAAGGGCCAGGAAGAGGAGAAAAACACTGGATAGGAAACAGTGGGACATTCAGAGGGTGCAGTGGACGCCGGGTGTGCTTGGGAGCTGGGAAGCGCTCTCCGTAGCTGTTAGAAGCAGAGCTGGACTTTCACAGGACTTGGTCCAAACCCCTGGTTTTATAGAAGCAGAGAGCAGCTCCAGAGAGGTTAAGGAGATCGCCTGAGCTCACAGGCAGACGGGCACAGGCCTGCTCCAGATCGCTGGCTTGGTGAACTGGGGAAGTCGGTCACGATGTTGTGATGCAATTGGCTTCTGCCCCCACCCCCCATTCATTGTTTCCTGCTGCCGAGAAGTCAGCCCTGGGAGAGGCGGGTGGTGGTGGAGGAATAGTGAAGGGAGGAGGGAAGTGGTCTGGGTGGGGCCAGGCCTGCTGCCCTGGGTCCTGTGGCTTCCCCGGAGAGGACACGGGTTGGAGCCCCAGCTGCTGATGGGGGACTCAGCCCAGTTAATCAGAGAGGGTTGCCCACCCCGCCGTGGGCCTGTCCCCATTTGGGGACTGGAGTTTTTAACTGCAGAGCTCTGTAAGCTCGTCTGCAAGGTGAAGAGTCCGCAAATCTTGCTCCCTGTGCTTGGGGGAGGGGCCGGTGTTGCTAAAATTAGGAGAAATTCAAAGAAGGGCTCCCATGGCTTCCTGGGAAAGGGAGAAGCGGCCATGGGGTCACAACAGGCTCTGTGCTGGCCGTGTTCTTTGCTGCCTCCTCCCTGGGCCCCCGCGAGGTGCTCCTGGATGGCACCTCTGTGCTCCCCGCATGGCAGGTGCGGGGGTTGGGGGCTGCCTTCCCTGATGTTTGCAAGGAGGCTGGCCTTTATGGCACACCAGCCTGGCCCCTGCCCTTCCTGGCTGGAGTCCCTGCTCAGGGTTGTGGTAGAAGACAGCAGAGGTTGGCATGTTTGCAGCTACCCCCGAGAAGAGGGCTGAGAGGGGCTGAGTGGACTCGCCGAGACGCTGGCAGCAAGTCACAGGGACGCCGGAAACCGACATCCCTGGTTTTTGTCCTCTGGGAGCCCGGGCATGAAGTCGCGCTAGATTCACTGATTGCAGACGAGTAGGGCCTGGGTAAGAGGTTAAGAGCTTGGGTCTGCAGACCTGGGAGTCCCCCAGGCTCCGGCTTCTCAGCTTGCGCCCTGCAGTGGTGTGCTTTAAGTATTGGCTGTATCGGGTCTTAGTTGAGGCAGATGGGTTTAGTTGCGCCGTGGCTTGTGCAATCTTAGTTCCCCGACCAGGGATTGAACCTGCGTCCCCTGTATTGGAAGGCAGATTCTTAACAACTGGCCGCCAGGGAAGTCCCTGCAGTGCTGTGTTTTTGGTCAAGTGATTTGAGCTTTGGGGCTCGGTTTCCTCACCTCTAACAGAGAGAGAATAATCAGAAAGACCTGTCACCCCCATGAGAAGTGAGGTGATGAGGCAGAGGCCCTGAGGCCCGCCGACCAGCGCTGCTGCCGGGGAATGGACTGGAGCGCCGAGCAGGCGCAGCTTCTCCTGGGCTGGCCTTGGAGGGAGACCCCAGATCTGGCTGTCTTCCCTTGACTTGACAACCCCGGGACAGCTGCAGGCGGGTTATTGAGGAGCCAGCTGGGTTTTCACCCAGGCTGAGGCACTCAGCAGTGGTGTCCTGGGTTTCCTCCCTTGTCCCGGCTTTAATCTGACACCCTAGCTCCTGGCTGGAATCAACCATTTGCTTCTGACACTGGGATGTCATTCCCAAGCATCAAGAAACACTCTCTGGGGACTTCCCTGGTGGTCCAGTAGCTAAGACTCTCTGTTCCCAATGCAGGGGGCTTAGGTTCGATCCCTGGTCAGGGAACTAAATTCCACCTGCTGCAGCTAAGACCCAGCACAGCCAAATAAAAAGAAACACTCTGGTTTTGACAAAAATTGTAGGAGCCCGTCTCTATGTTTTTGGTTTTTATCGGTTCAGTACAAGGGATGCTTTTGTGCTGTTGAAACCTCTTCTGGACTGAACAATGGAAAATAAAAGAGTCAGGGCTGGGTGAGCCCCACGGGAAGGCCGGCTCTGTAGGACCTCGGACTGTGGCTTGGGGATTGGGGAGGGGGGCCCACGTGGGCAGCCCTTGAGACCCCTGTGTTCTCTCCCAGCAGATGTGTACCCCCAGCAACACACCTGCCACACCGCCCAACTTCCCCGACGCGCTGGCCATGTTCTCAAAGCTCCGTGCCTCCGAGGGCCTGCAAAGCAGCAACAGCCCCATGACCGCGGTGGCCTGCTCGCCCCCTGCAAACTTCAGCCCCTTCTGGGCCTCGTCCCCGCCCAGCCACCAGGCCGCCTGGATGCCACCCTCCTCCCCCACGGCCCACAGCTTCCACCACCTCCGCCACCCACAGCCCACGTGGCCCCCTGGAGGACAGCAGGGGAGCACGCCGCAGAAGGCCGTGGCGGCGACGGACGGCCAGAGATGAGACTGGGCGCCGCCGGGCGCGGGGCTGGAGCTGGGGGCGGTCCAGGGGCGGGGGGAGGCTGGGCGCGGGGCTTTCCTGAAGATCGCACTGGAAGATTTTATAGAAGAGAATTTTTGTGGGTGGGGGGACAGTAAACTTCCTGAGCCACTTGGATCCTTCAGGAGTTTCTCTTCAGGCAAGTTTTTTTGTTTTTCCTCTTTTTAATATATAACTATAATATATATATGAATATGTAAAAATAACTAATGTATGAGACCGGGGCTGGCCGACGGGGTGTTGGGTCAGCGGGGAAGGGCCAGGGGAGCCACCCAGGGGGCCAGCACCCCTTCCTCCACCCCTGTCCCAGGGCAGGTGCTTGGGAGCCAGGTGGCGTGACTCTGCAGTCACGTGGTGTCTGCTCGCTGCCTCCTTTCAAAGGTCACACCTTCTGGAATCCGGCGAAGGACCTCTGCCTTCCCACCCTGCGGGAGGCTGTGGAAGGGACTCCCGGTGGTGCTGGGTGGCTGAAGGTGTGGGGGCCGCTCCCCACCCCCGGCCAGCTGTGCAGGGCTCGTGCAGGGCTTGCGAGCTGGCCCCCAGCCCCAGGGCCGCCCTGCCTCTCCCACTGTGTGTCCGGCTGCGGACAGCAGAGCGGAGGGCTGGCCTTTGGATGGAGTTCCCAAATCAAATCATCTCACCAGGGTGAAATTTTAATTTAAAACGTAAAAGAGACTTTTCTAACTTCCCTGGTTTGCGGTGCCTTTATTTGCCTTGGTACGGAGAGCGCGCTCCTTGGGCAGAGGGGTGGCGGGCCCTTGGCTGTGCTGCAGTCGGGGGACCAGCCCCACGGGCATGCGGCGGGGTCGGGTGTCCTGACACGGGGGCTGATAGGTTGGATCGGGTGGGAGGAGAACAGGTCCTGGCTAGGTCACGGTGACCCTCTCCTGGCCCTTGGCCACCAGAGGCTGAGCCTTAGCCCTGTAGCCCCTGTCTTTGCAGTTGGTGGGGGATGGGGGGAGCTGCCTGCCTCGGGGGGCCGGCCCTATGATTCAGCCTGGGCCCTCCCCGGCCCCCCAAGGCATCTTTCCGCCATCTCTGCTCTTCCTGCCCCCAAGCTCCTTTGGGGCATCCTGTCCCCACGTGCGTGTCATGTGGCCCTGTCCCAGAGGTCAGTCGCAGCTCTCGGAGCCAGAGGCCCGGGTGGGCCCCCAAGGGGACTGGCTGTTTTCCCTTCCCGCCTTCCTCTTGGCCTCCCGGCGCTAGGATGGAGCGGTGATGGCAGTTCCTGACCTGGTGGGGCCCTTCCTCAGGCTCTCCCACACAGGTGGCCAGGTGGGTGTGGAGCCCGAATGCAGGAGCTGGGTGGCAGGCCCCAGGCTTGGGGTTCCTGCTCGAGCCCCTTCCCCCCACCACCCCCAGCCTCCAGCCCCCTCCAGCACATGTGAGTGGGCGCGTTCCCTCCCTCTCGGCAGCCTGGGCCTTGCTGTCAATCAGGCCTGCAGGTCTGGACATTCAGACCCAGAGTGCAGGGACACCTGGGAAGGGCCCCGCCTGGCTGACTGGCCCACCCTACTCCTGGGCCCTCGTGTCTCCATGGGGTTGCTGCGGGGCAGCCCCCCATGGGTGTGGAGCAGGACCGGGGACACAGCTGCCCTCGGCCACCTGCTCTGCATGCGACCGTGTGCTTGAGGCTGGGTTTGTCCTTTCAGTTTTGTTTCCTGGTTGGAGATCCGTGGGACTCCTCCCACCCGCACCCCTCACTGCCCACCTGTGCTTTCCCAGGCTGGAAGGGGAAGCCCCTTGCAGGCACGTGGGCGGCCAGTGCTGGCTGAGGGCGAGCAGGCAGCCCAGGTGCGGGGAGGCGGAGTGGGGGGCCTCCGTCCTTTCAGGGGCGTCGGGGTGGGGGTGGGGTGGGCTGCTCCTCCCCCCTCCCCACCAAGCTGGTGAGTTTGGATTCCAGGCCAGGACACAGCAGAGGAGGTCCTGGGCCTGGCCTGCCTCCCGCTCGCAGAGCAAAAGGTGCCAGGTGCCTGCTGGGGCTCCGGGCTTCTATGATGAATCAGATCTCAGCAGATGGGGGGGTGCCCCTTCCTGTAGGGAGTGCCTGCTCCACCCATGACACCCCCAGTGAGCCCCACCCTCTGGTGCCCACAGGGGGATGAGGGAGAAACCCTTTTCTGGGCTATTTCCTGCCATGCCCTTCTGTGGAGCTCTATGTCGCGCCTCCCCTCACACCCCTAAAGCAGGCCTCCCACTGGCAGAGGGGCCTGGGGGTGGGGGAGGGAACCCCACCTTTGAGGAGGGGGCTGATGAGAATAGATTTGAAGGCAGAGAACTGCTTCCATGACTATCCGGATGGGAGGCAACTATTACCTTGTCCTGGGGCTCTGGGGACAAGGGCTTGTCCCTTACAGTTGACTTGGGTGGATAGCAGTGAGCCCCCTCCTCTGCTCAGGGTGACCTGGAGCAGGACGAGGGCCGTCAGACACGGTTCTCTATCTCCCTGGGGAGGGAGGGGGAGCAGGGACACGGCCTGGCCCCAGCAGCCCCTCTTGCGTCTTCGGCAGCCATTCAAGGGTGACCCCACGGACCGCAGCCCGCCAGGCTCCTCGGTCCATGGGACTCTCTAGGCAAGAATACTGGAGTGGGGTGCCAGGGGACCTTCTGAACTTGGGGCTCAAGCCCGCGTCTCTCGCATCGCCAGCATTGGCGGGCAGATTCTTTACCACTAGCACACCCTAGGTAAGCCCCTCTTTTTGCAAGCCGGAGGGGATGGCAACCAGGAGCCTTGCCAGGAGCCTGCCACCCTTAAACCTTCGCCCCAGGGTACAGCCTGAGCATGGATGTGAAGCATCTAAACCCTCCAGAGTGCCCTGGGCACTTACCCAGAGGGAAGGCGGTGCCTGTGCCAGAGAGGGCCTTAGCACCAGGTCCAGCCACGGTCAGGAGAGGGGCCCCCTGCAGGCCTGCCAGTCCCCAGGGCCTGGAGTCGGGCCTGTGCTGCCGCCTCCTCGCCCTGGGTGCCGTACTCAGCCCTCTTGAAGCCCTGGTGCCCTCAGAACAGCTGGCCCTGTTTGGGGGAGCTGCGTCCGTCAGGCTGCAGGAAGCCTGCTGTCCCACCTGAACCAGGACCGGAGGAGCCTCGTGGCTGCGAGCTTTCTCCTGAGCGTTTATTTATAGCCCTGCTCAGTGAGCAGAGGTGGACCGTGGCCCCCGGGTGGGCTCCTCGAGCCCCTCCCCAGGGGGCATATCCCTGTGCTCGTCCCGCCCCCCTGGCAGGTTCCCCGTCTTGCCGGGCAGGTGGGCTGGGTTCGGCTGGGAGAGGCGGCCCTCGGTGGAGACAGGTCTGTCTTTCCGATGACGGGAAGGAGCTGTGGGACAGGAGGGGCCCCAGATGGCTCAGGCTGACTCCCACGCCCACCGGCGGCCCACCCTGGCTTGCCCAAAGCCCCACTAACCAGGCTGAGCCAAGACATCATGCTGGAGGGTCACGCTCTCCTACGAGCCCCTAAGCCACACTCCTTTATACTCTGAGTTAAAAATAAGTCAGGGGCCAAGAGCCTGCCTCTTTGTTAACATTCCCTCTATTAATACAGGGACTGTTAGGGCCACACTGACTTAAGTCAGGGCAGGAATTTCTCTTTAAGACACCCCCCGCCTCCCTGCTTCTGTAATGGGCCTTTAGAGTGGACCCTGGCATGCCAGGGAGAGGGAAGCTAAGTTCCCCCAAGAACAGTCCTGGGAGCCAGAGCCACAGGCCAATGCTGTCTGTCCCCTGCGGAATCCTCCACCCCAGGCTATTTGCCAGTGCTGGCTCCAGGGCCAGACAGCTTGGCTTTGAGCTCCGGCTCTGCGGCTTTCTAGCTGTGTGACCTTGGGCATGTACTTTAATGTCTCTGTGCCTTGGCTTTGTCAGCTGTAGGTGGGACCAGCAGTGGTCCCTATCTTTTAACACGTGAGGATTAAAATTATTGATTCACACGTGTAAAGCTCTTCAGCAGTGAGGAACCCTTGGCAGAGGCGAGGCTGCACATCCCACCACTGCACTGGTTTCTGCCTCCTGCAGACACTGGGGGCTGGAACTGGAAGGCTTGGTGTAGAGGACCTCGGGCTGCGGCTCTAGACCTGGGCGGGGGTGTGGTGGGGCTCCCTGGGCCTCCAGCAAGTAGCTGCCAAGCATTGTGGGTACATAAGGTTTCATGAGAAGAAACTCAGCAGCTTTCTTAGACTCTGCTGGGGGGCTGGTGGGGGGGCTCCTAACTTAGCAGCCAGAATCCAGCACCCTTTTATTGACAGATGAGGAAACTGGCCAGGAGGAGGGGGAGACGTGCTCAGAGTCACCTGGAAGTGGTCTAGCCCCTCGGCTCCAGGCCAGCGTCCCTCTCTGGCCCCCATGGTAGCCAAACCCCGGGGAAAGGCTTAGCCCTCTGGCTTTCAGGCCAGATTTGGCCCCTCTGGGGAGAGCACAGACTCTGGGGACCTCCCAGGCCCAGGAGAGTCAGTACATGTGAGCAGCGGGGAAGGACGTGGGCCTGGAGCCAGAGCTTGGGCCGCAAGCCCGCACCTGTTTCCTCTTCTGTGAAATGGGGGCAGTGACAGTATCTGCCCACAGACCTGGCACAAAGCAGGCGCCTGGGAGGGAAGGGTTTTCTCTCTCCTCCCTCGCATCCCATCCCTTGGCTCCCGGGCCCCTCTTCTACCAGCCACGGGCAGCAGAGGCGCCTGGCGGGGCAAGGAGGAGGGTCGGTGGGCAGTGCCACCCAGAAGGGCCCTCCGTCCAGGGAGGAGCTACCTGAGTCGCTGGCAGCCAGCGTCTGGGCACTCTGAGGCCGCGAGGGCAGCTGGCCGCCGTCGCTGGGGGGCTGCTGCCGATGCCCGTGGGGCCGGGACTGCTTGGTCTTGTGCTTCATCCCCGCATCTGATGGGAGACGGAGTGGGGAGGGTCAGCTCCGAGACACCGGCTGGGAGCTCTGAAGGGGGCCGTGGGGATGGGGAGAGGGCGGCGGGCTGCTGGTCTCTGCCTGCCTCAGCGGGCGCCCTTCTCAGTCTGAATTCGTGGAAATGCCCTTTATAAGCAAGCACTTCGTTCATTGGAAAAGACCCTGATGCTGGGAAGGGTTGAAGGCAAAAGGAGAGGAGGACGTCAGAGGATGAGATGGTTGGATAGCATCACCAACTCAGTGGACATGAATCTGAGCCAGCTCCATGAGATAGTGGAGGACAGGGGAGCCTGGCGTGCTGCAGTCTCTGGGGTCGCAAAGAGTCAGACATAACTTAGCGACTGAGCAACAGCAAGCACTTCATCCCCCTGTGCGTCTGTCTGGCCATCTGTCTGTCCACTCACTCTGATATCTACCCACAGACAGCAGCCCCATGCCAGGTGCTGGGTGAGTTCTGACCCTGGGTCTACAGTTTGGGAGGGGAAGTGACTCGAAAGATGCATACACGCCTGTCAGACCCAGAGAGAAGTGACAAAGCACATCCAGGATGGCCAACTGGAAGGGGACATTCCAGAACACGAGAGATTCACAAAGGGGTAGGGGGCTCAGGAAGAGTTTTGAAGAATGGGTGATGCTAACAGAGGCTTAGGTGGGAAAACTGGGGTGACAGCCTGCGGATGAAGGCTGGCCAGAAAAGATGCGGCCACGACATTCCTGCTAATTGGCTAAGACTAGATAGCTGTCCCCCTGCTGCAAACACTGACCTGGGGGCGTCTGGAGTCAGGGAGGTGGAGGAGGAAGGCAGTCGGGGTCTGGTGGCCGCAAGAAGTGCTGGGGCCTCCAGGAGCTGGACAGGCCCTGCAGGACCCAAGCAAGGAGCCCGAGGGCGCCTGGGTCATCTGGACACTCACTGTCTTTGTTCATGAGGTCCGGCAGCCGTGTTTCCATCCGGCCCTTGTAAATATGTCCGTCCAGGCCCAAGATGTCCACCTCGTCGTGCTGTGGAGACGGGTGGTTGCCCATGGCCACCTGCTGCCTGAGCTTCCTTCCTGCCCTCTCTCTGAGCCAAACGGTGCTCAGAGCCCTCAAAGGGGCCTGGGGACAGGGCCAGGTGGCCGGGATGGCTGTCTTCTTCCCAGGAAAGGAAAAGAACCTGAGGCTTTACTGGTCTGATTAAGAAACTGCCCCCGAGGCCGAGGGCCGGGCAGGGGACTGCTGGCAGCTTTTCCGGAGGGACCTGGGAGTCTGGGGGCCCCTGGGGGGCCCTCCCTGGAGGCTCCCAGGAATGTCCCCACCTTCATGGCGATCTGGATCTCCTCGGGGGGGTACAGGCCCTGGGAAAGATGCTGCAGGCGGATGCGCCGGTAGGGGTAGGTGAGGGTGTGGCTGCCCCCGCAGGGCCGGGGCGCCGAGGAGTAGCTGTAATCAGCCATGTCTGGCAGCCTGCGGTGGAGACAGCGAGTCACAGGGAGCGGGTGTGTCCTGGGACACGCCTCGGTGGGGGTGGGGGGCTGCAGGTGGGGTGGTGCTGACAGGGGGCTCCAGGGGCCACAGCTTGAGCCAGGACAGGGCAGGGGGTGAGCGAGCAGGGTGGCCTCAAGAGGGACACACACACACACTCCCTCTCTCACATACACACATTCACACACGTGTATTCACAGATCCTCACACACACGTTCACACATACGTTCGCAGACACACACTCTCACTCAGAACGCACACGTACGCGTTCCCACATTCATACGCACATTCACACATACACACACATTCATCTGCTCATATAGTATACATTTAACAATGCTCTCTCACACTTGTTCACATGCATTCACACACTCATGTACACGTTCACATACATGTGTTCACACAGATTCTCAAACACATTCGTACATATGTTCACACACATTCACACATACACATTCTCTTGCATTCTTTCAGAAGCACACACACAAACGTTCACACAGTATAATCACGCCCACATTTTCATACACACTTATAGGCATGTTTACATTCTCACAGACATACACAATCACATACTGTCTCCTACATGGAGGCCCCACTCCACACACACACACACACACACACACACACACACACACACACTCTGCCAGGCTCTCGGGCCCGGCCGGGCCGCCCACCGTCTGTAGCAGGGGGAGCTGAGGCACTGGGCCTGCAGCAGCTCGTGGATCATCTGGCTGCTGGCCTTGACGGAGCCCCCGAAGTGGATCTGCACCTTCTCGATGTCCAGGAGCATCTTGGAGTGCATGGTACGCAGGCGCCCCACGCTCCGCTCCACCGGCCCCAGGTCCCCCCGCGGGAAGCCACTGCTGCCCAGCTTCAGGCTGTGGGGTGCAGGCCCAGCGGAGGGGTGAGCCGTGCGCCGGCACCATCCCCAGGAAGCAGAGCCCTGTGGGGTGGGAGCCCCCTCCATCAAACCCCAGGGACCAGGGCCGGGCTTGCCGGGGAGAGTTTCCTGAGCCGAGAGCGTGCGGGAGAGCCAGAGAGGAGAGCAGCCCAATCCATCGGGCCCCTTCGCCCTGGCCCTGCACCCCTGGCCCCTGTGGGCTCCAAGGGCAGCTTTGAAAACCAGCCGTTCCACTGAACCTCCGGCCTCAGGAGGTGGCAAGGCTGTGGGGAGGAGGGCAGGAGCCTGGGAGGGCATGAAACACAGCCCCCACCACTCATCTCACACTCATGGAGCTGCCCCCTGCCTTCCTCCCAGGCCCAGTCTGAGCAGGGAAAAGGCGGGGGCTGGGGGGAGTCTCAGAGGCAACCTCCCACCAGGATGCCCAGCAGGGGCACAAAGGCAGGTGCTTACTAGGTCTGCACCTCGGGGCTGATGCTCCCCCCCCGGGAAGAGCTGGGAGCTGCTTCAAAAAGTGCCCTAGCATCACCCCGCCCCAGCCCCCACTCTCGCCCTCCAGACCCCCTGCAAAGCCCTCACAGGACCCCGCGGCACTGCCCGTACTTGCGGCTCTGCTGCCGAACCTGCTCCAGTTCAAAGACTGTGTAGGGGCGGACGGAGCGGTGCCCAGGCAGGCAAGGGCCCACGGGAGTCACGGGGATGACTCTGGGCAGGGGCAGGGAAGGGAGGGTCGGTGTGAGAAACCCCAGCATCCAAATCCATCACCCACTCCTCATGCTCCACCTGCCCGAGGAGCCTTCCCACCCTGGGGATTGAAGGCCGAGGGGTAAGAGCAACCCAGGGCATAGAGCGGACCCGAGAGAGGAGGAGCAGGCAGGAGTACAGACGCCGCCCCCCATCACGGCCAGCCACAGGGGGCACTCACTGTCCAGTCACAGGTGTCTCCAGGGGACGGTCACATGAGAGGCAGTGGAAGTGTGCCAAGAGCTGCCTGTGAGGGATGGGACACACGCAGAGGGTGAGGACCCTGCCCAGAGGGTCCCAACGGGAGGGATGGAGAACTCAAGAGGGTTTGGCTGGTAGGCTGGATGCTCAGTGCCCAGGGGTCGGGGCCTCAGGCCACCGGAGGCAGGTCTGGGCCCCGCTCCCTGCACGCATCAGCTACTAGAGATGCCCACTTCTGGACACACATCTAGCACATCCCCTAACCCAAAGCCGGCAGGGCTCTCAAGGGCCCCCAGGGGTGGGTGCCCTCCGTAAGCTTTGGGGGCCCTCTGGTGGCCAGGAATGGGAATGCTGGGACTCAAGCTGCCATAAGCCAGGCACACCTGGGGGCTGTGGACCCCCTCCCACCTGTGCCCAGAGAGCCTTACGCCTCCCTCCCCTCCCTCTCTCTGCTATAATATGAATCAGCCTGAGCTACAAAAGCTTTTCAAGTTCTGTCCCTTCCTACTGCTGGACAGTCCCAGACAGGATCTGCCAGTCCCTCCAAACACACATGGGGACCCTCCAGCTGGTCCACCCTCTCCCCTGCCGGGCCTCGCCTCCGCATGGCAGCTGCCTCGTCCGCCTGGTAGAGAGGAGAGCGCTCTTTGAGCTGCTGTCGCAAGGATTTCCATCGATCCTCCAGTGACTGCTTCACTGGGTCCAACTCCAGGCGGTCCAGCTTTGGGGAGGAAGTGGGGGGCGGGCACCAGGTGAGCTCTGAGAAAGCAGGTGGGGGTCTGCAGTGCTTGGCGGAGGTGGCGCTGCCCCGGTCACCTTGTTGTCCATCTCCACCAGGAGCTTGTCCAGCATCTTCTGCCAGTCCTGCTCCTGCCCTGTCATCTTGGCCACCAGCTCCTGCATCATGTGGTTCAGCTGCTCCGTGGTGGCGTCAAACTGGACGCGGCTCACTTTGGCTGCCAGGGCACTCTTGTCAGCTTTCTGCCCAGAGACAGAGGGACGAGATGCGCCCCCACCAAGATGGGAGAGAGTCACGGCGGGGCCCCGCTCCACATAGCTCAACTCTGATGCTGAGCCCACATCCCACCTTGGGCTCCTCTCCTCTCTCTGCCTTTTCAAGAGTGGGAGCAATGGGACCTCCCTGGGTGGCTTTTCTTCAGGCCTGGCCTTACCACGTCAATTTCCATCTCCAGGTGTTCCCTGTTGGCCTTCTCCCTCGCCAGCTTCTCCAGACCCTGGTACAACACCTGGGAGGCCGAGGGAGCAGAGAATAAGGAGCAGGGAACCAGGTCGCGCCCCAGCCCCGCCCCCCGCCGGCCCTCACGTCAATGTCCTTCTGCTTCTGCCGGTGGTCTTCGATGAGGTTGCTGGTAGTGATGTTGAGTTTCTCGCAGTCGCCCTGCACCTGCAGGATGGCACTCTGGACGTGGCCCAGCAGCTCTTCATCCTGCGCAAGACAAAGGCAGGCTCCCTGGGGCAGCCTCCCCCACCCCCACTTCGGGTACTGCCACCCCCAAACAGGGGAGCCCTTAGAATATCACCCAGCAGACAGGCTGATATCAGACCCCACTCTAGGTCTCCTGGGTTGCCATCATAACCCACCACCTCCCCATGGATTAGCCTCCAGGGACCCGGTCCACTGGCGCAGGTGATCGGTAGAGGTGGTGAGCTGCCCCAGGGCCCCTGAGAGTTGGGGTGTGGTCTACAGTCTCCGCTCCTGCCCTGAGGTAAGTGTGAATTCTGGAGTCCAAGAGACAGGCCTCCGGGACTTGTCCTCCCTGCCCTCCCCACCCCCAGCAGGCCTGCCCTTTACAGGGGAAGAGAGAAATGGACCAGAAGACCAGTGTGTGAAGGAGCCGGGGGAGGGGGGGGGCAACAAACTCTAAAGCTGTGTCAGCGTCCCCGAGGCACGAGAATGGCTCTGCTCCACCCATCCACCAGCTATGCTGCCCCCATCCCAACCCGTGGACCCAGCTCTGCCCCACAGTCCCCTGTGCCCAGGGCCAGCTTGATGGCTGCCCTTGCTGTGACCCTACAGAAAGACCAGGCACTTTCGGGCAGTTGCTAAAGGGCTCCATCATGCAAAAGTGACCCAACATCCCTCCCCCGGGGACTCCCCAAGCAGCTTCTGGTGGGCGGGTTGTTTGCAGCCACACAGGAGGGAGGCAGGCACGTCACCTGGCTCTGCAGTTTGGCCTTCCTGGAGGGCCGGGAGGCAGCCAGGTTGTTGACCATGTTCTGGAGCTGCTCGTAGCGCTGCACCAGCATGCTGACCTGGTGGCTCAGGTCCAGGCTGCAGGCCGGGCAGGTGGCCGCAGGGTCGATCTGGCTGGGGGCCAGGGTGGTCAGGGTCTTGTGCGGGGTCATGTTCAAGCTCATGGACAGCAGCGTGGAGGACGAGGCCAGCATGTTCTCAATGATCGTCCTGAGCTTGTCTAACTGGGTGTGGGAGAGAGGGCGGGTGCAGGGCAGTGAGCGAGTCACCACATGGTCACCACCAGCCTTTCTGCCCTGACCTGCTGTGATCCAGGCAGTTGCTGGAGCCTTGGTGCCTTGCAGGGTATGCAGCTCATGGGAAGTGCTCGATGTCTGTCCATTAAACAGTGAACAGTGATCCCAGGGAGGGTACGGCAGGTGCTGATTAAGGCCTTGCAGGAAGGAGGCTTCTGGACCTTTCTCCAGCCAGCCCATTGCGGCAATGTGAGAATGTATCTCCTCTAGCTAAATCCCAGTGCTGATGTCCGTCAGTCAGTCCACAAACACTCTGAGGACCCTGGCGACACACAGGCCCTGCTTCGGGCACTGGGCAGAGGAGCGGTGGACTCACACATGCTCTCTCCCCATTTAGTATGCAAATAACAATAAGAGAACGTGATTTTCTAATGCCACCTACAAAAAAAGTCAACTCAAAATGGATTAAAGACCTACATGTAAAACCAAGACCATAAAACTCCTAGAAGAAAACAGGCAGGACATTTTTTGACATAAATTATAGCAATAGGACTTCCCTGGTGGTCTGTTGGAAGAATCTGCCTGCCAGTGCAAGGGACATAGGTTCGATCCCTGGTCCAGGAAGATCCCAGATGCCGTAGAGCAACTATCCCACCTGCCACAACATCTGAGCCCATGGGCGGCAACTCTGAAGCCCATGTGCCTAGAGCCTGTGCCCTGCAACAAGAGAAGCAACTGCAGTGAGAAGCCTGTGCCCTGCAATGAAGCGTAGCCTCTACTCACCGCAACTAGAGAAAGCCCACGAGCAGCAACGAAGACCCAGCGCAACCAAAAATAAATAAATAAATTATAAAAAATAAAAGAAATTGTAGCAATATTTTTCTATCTGCCCCCTAAGTCAAAGGAAATAAAAGCAAAAATAAGCAAATGAGGCCTAATTAAACTGAAAAGCTTTTACACGGCAAAGGAAATCACCAAAGAAAAGACAACCTATGGAATAGGATAAAATATTTCCAAATGATCTGACTGATAAGGGGTTAATATCCAAAATATATAAACAGCTCATATTACTCAACATTCAAAAACAACCCGATTTAAAAATGGACGGATCCCACCCTTATGGCAGAAAGTGAAGAAGAACTAAAGAACCTCTTGATGAAATTGAAAGAGGAGCGTGAAAAAGCTGGCTTAAAACTCAACACTCAAAAAACTAAGATCATGGCATCTGGTCCCATCACTTCATGGCAAATAGATGGGGAAACAATGGAAACAGTGACAGACTTTATTTTCTTGGACTCCACAATCACTGCAGGTAATGACTGCAACCATGAAATGAAAAGATGCTTGCTCCTTGGAAGAAAAGCTATGACCAACTTAGATGGCACATTAAAAAGCAGAGACATTACTTTGCCAACAAAGGTCCATCTAGTCAAAGCTGTGGTTTTTTCAGTAGTCATGTGTGGATGTGAGAGTTGGACTATAAAGAAAGCTGAGCACCAAAGAATTGATGCTTTTGAACTATGGTATTGGAGAAGACTCTTGAGAGTCCCTTGGACTGCAAGGAGATCCAACCAGTCCATCCTAAAAGAGATCAGTCCTGAATGTTCATTGGAAGGACTGATGCTGAAGCTGAAACTCCAATACTTTGGCCACTTGATGTGAAGAGCTGACTCATTGGAAAAGACCCTGATGCTGGGAAAGATTGAAGGCAGGAGGAGAAGGGGATGACAGAGGATGAGATGGTTGGGTGGCATCAATGGACATGAGTTTGAGCAGCTCCAGGAGTTGGTGATGGTAGGGAAGCATGGTGTGCTGCAGTCCATGGGGTTGCAAAGAGTCAGACACGACTGAGTGACTGAACTGAGAAGACCTAAAGAGACATTTTTTCCAAAGAAGATATACAGATGGCCAGCAGGGACATGAAAAGATGCTCAACATTGCTACTTATTAGAGAAATGCAAGTCAAAACCACAATAAGATATCACTGCACACCTCTCAAGATGGCAAGCATCAAAAAGTCTACTGGGAACGTCAATTGGTGCAGTCAATATGGAAAACAGTACAGAGATTTCCAAAAACACTAAAAATGGAATTAGCATATAATCCAGCAATTCCACTCCTGGTTATGTATCTGAAGAAAATGAAAACACGAATTCAAAAAGAGAGATGCACCACAATGTTCACAGCAGCACTAGTGACAATAGCCAAGATATGGGAGCAACCTAAGTTTCCATCAATAGATTAAGAAGATGTGGTTTATATATTAAAACGGAATACTACTCAGTCACAAAAACTGAAATTTTGCCATTTGCAAAACAACATGGATGGACCTCTAGAGAAGAGAATGGCTAACCACTCCAGTATTCTTGTTTGGAGAATTCCATGGACAGAGGAGCCTGCGGGCCTAGAGCCCATGAGGTTGCAAAGAGACACGAGTGAGCAGCTAACACTTCCACTTCACTTTCGTGGATGGACCTAGAGTATTATCCTTAGTGAAATCAGTCCGAAAGACAAATGCTGTATGTTGTCACTTATATGTAGAATCTAAAAAATAAAACAAACTAGTGAGTGTAACGAAACAGAAGCAGACTCACAGATCTAGAGAAGAAACTAGTGGCTACAGCTGGGGGAGAGCCCGGGGAGGGACAAGACAGGGGGAGGGAATTAAACGGTACAAACTACTATGTATAAATAGGCAGCAAAGCTGTATTGTGTAGCACAGGGAAAGAGAGCCATTCTTTTATAATAACTTTCAATGGAGCAGTTGCTGTTGAGTCATTTAGGATTGCCATTTCCTTCTCCAGGAGATCTTCCTGTCCCAGGGATCGAACCCGTGTCTCCAGCTTGGCAGGCAGATTCTTTACCACTGAGCCACCTGGGAAGCCCTCAGAGGAGTATAATTTGTCAAAATACTGAATCACCATGTTGTGCATTTGAAACTGATGTAATATTGTAGATCAACTACACTTCAATTAAAAAGAGAGAATGTGACCGGCGCCACCACTGCAGGGGTCTCTCACGGCCTGGGTGGGAACAGACTCCTTCCACTGGCCCTCCTGCTCTCTTCTGGATCCCAGGGTCCCAGTTTGTCCCCATAAAGGACTGGTCCTGGGTAGACACCGGACGGGCCAAAGATCTGTGACGTGTTGCAGCCTCGGGGGGAGGGGCTGCGCCAACCTAGGGCCCCCCTTCTCGGAAGCATGTGACATTGCAAGGCCTGGGGCAGCCCTTTTGGACCATGTGTGAGAGATAAGAAAGCTGACTGACACAGGGAACCCAGCCTAGCGCTCCGGGATGACCCAGAGGTGTGGAATGGGAGCGGGGAGCGAGGCTCAAGAGAGAGGGGATATATATATATATATATATAATTATGACTGATTCATGTTGTTGCACAGCAGAAGTCAACCCCACATTGTAAAGCAATTATCCTCCAATTATAAAATAAATGAAAAAATTAGGAAAAAAAAAAAGAAAGCCGACGGAATAGAGAAGGGAAGAGAGATACGGTGGTGTTTGAGAAAGATGGATAAAGAAAGGGACACGGAGGCAAAGACAGATACAAAAGACGCAGAGGGCTTCCCTGGCGGTCCAGTGGTTAAGAGTCTGCCTTGCAAAGCAAGGGACACTGGTTCGATCCCTAGTCTGGCAAGAGCCCACAGGCCAAGGAGCAGCTGACCTGGTGCTCCACGGGCCTGAACCAGTGTTCTAGAGCCGACTACCGAAGCCCGCGCACCTTGAGCCCGTGCTCTGTGACAAGAGAGGACACCACAGGGAGAAGCCCTCGCACCGCATTCAAGAGTAGCCCCTGCTCAATGCAACTAGAGAAACCCTCGCACACAGCCAAGAAGACCCAGCCAAGCCAATAAAGAAAGAAATAAATCTGTTTCAAAAAAGACACGCAAGGACAGACAGGTAATGGCCTGGGCCAGACTGGCCCCTTGGCCTGGAAGTTTGCCCTTCCCAATTTCCTCGACACATACATATTTTCAACCAGGCTCCTGCTGGCCTGAGCTCAGCATGATTCTTGCCGCCAGAAGAGTCGGGAGCTGGGCCTGCCCAGCGGCGGGTGGGTGCCCTCCAGGTGTGGCCCCGGGGAGCCCCAGAGGTGGCTAACTAAGCTGAGGCCTGAGCTTTGGGATAACACGTGACTCTCAAACACACCATCTACTGCCATCCTATCCAAGACAGTCAGTCCTGGGTTGCGAAATGGTGCACACCGCCATCCTGGCAAACTTGGAGTGGGTCCCAAATGGGGCCTCTAGCATAAAGGGGTTCCCGTCGTGAACCCCCTGGGCCCGTGACTTTGCCCATCTGATCCTTCTGTGGGCGCTCAGAGAGCTGGTCTGAGTCCAGACAGTCCTCACTGGGAACATTCTGGGGCGACCAACACTCACGATGTAAAGGCAGACACTCCCAGGAGAGTGAAAAGACAATCCCCAGAATGGGAGAAAATACTTGCAAAATGTATATCGGATGAGTGTTTAAGATCCCACCGCGCTCAGCCAGCTCATCCCTGTGGCTGAAGGGCCTCACCTGATCCTGCAGGTAAACGGAGGCTTCGGAGACCGAATGTTCCACGCTGACCTTGCCCTTCTCCTGCCTCTCCCTCAGCTCACCCAGCTCCTTCTCGATGTCGGCCATGGTGACTCTGTGTGCGCAAGAGACGGTCCAGCCCCACTACCCGCCCAGGGGCCTGGGCCCGCCATGGCTGAGCCCTGGCCGTCAGGGATGGAGGAGGCAGACCGGCGCTCCTTCATATCCCCTCTCTGGGCTCTGGCTAAAGCGTCCAAGGCCCTGCCTGCCGTGGAGGTGGGTGCCCAGTGTGCCCGGCTTCAAGGGGGTGAGGTCTGGCCCTGCACCGAGACTGCTCTGAGGGGCTCCAGCAGATGCTTTGAAGCCTCCAACTGTGGACAGAATCTCGGGAGCTTTTGGTCCAGGGAGAGGAGTGCTCTTCCAAGCCCTGGTGCTGAACTGTTTTAAGAACCTGGGAAACTCCCACAGGCAACCTGAACCTGAAGAGCAGATATGATCTGGGTCAAAGAGAGCAGTCAGTTCAGGAATGAGGGGACCGGAGGCTGCTACCGCCTCCCTGGCTGAGAACACGTGATGCCAGGACACAAGCTGCACTCGGCCGGGGGATTTTACCTGAGGATACCCAGCTGCAGGTTCAGCGGGCTATCTTTCTCCTCCTTTCCTATTTCTTTCTCCCCATGACCATGACCCTCCAGGATCTTGCTCATCTTCTCCATCTACAAATCCAATGGAAGAGGAGTGTCAGGCAGGCTTAGATCTCTGCTTTCTGAATGTGCCTCTGCAGGCCCAGCAAGCTCCTCCCCCATTCCCTAATCCATTCTTCTTTTTTTTTTTTTCCATACCATGAGGCTTGCGGGATCTTAGTTTCCCAACCAGGGATCAAACCCAGGCTGCTGGCAGGGAAAGCACAGAGTCCTAACCACTGGACCTCCAGGCAAGTCACCCCACCCCCTAATCCTAATCCAATCCTCTAGCAAAGTCTGAGGTCCCTTCCTGACATTCAGTCCGTCTACCCCGTGGATGAAGATGCTGTTGCTTAGTCGCTCAGTTGTGTCTGACTCTTTGCGACCCCATGGACTGTAGCCCGCCAGGCTCCTCTGTCTATGGAAGCAAGAATACTGGAGTAGGTTGCCATGCCCTCCCAGGGGATCTTCCCAACCCAGGAATTGAACCAGGGTCTCCTGCATCACAGCTGGATTCTTTAGCACCTGAGCTACCAGAGGAGCCCATGGATGTAGAGAGCTGGCATTAAGAGAATGACTGGGGACTTCCCTGGTGGTCCAGTGATTCAGACTTCACCTTCCAATGCAAGTGGGTTCAGTCCCTGGTAGGGGAGCTAAGATTCCCACATGCCTCAGGGCCAGAAAACCAAAACATAAAAAAACAGAAGCAATATTGTAACAAATTCAATAACGACTTTAAATATCATCCACATCAAAATAAAAACTTTAAAAAGAGACAGAGAGAAGGACTGAAGACCTAACAGCCCCTCGCCGTGACTGCTGGTCCCAGACAGTCCCACAAACTCCAAGGCTGCTCCAGGGACAGTAGGTATTCCTGCAAACAACCACACGTAATGAAAGGAGCCCAGGCCACCTTGCTGGCTCAGTGGAATCTTAATAGCTTTGAATGACAGGTTTTAGATCTAGGAAAGAAACACGCTGAAACCTGGGGTGTATTTCCCACCGGAGGGGGCTGTAAAGATCATGTGACAGTAACGGAGGTGAAAGGACTGTGTAGTCCATGAAAATGCAAATGGAAAGTGGGATTGGCGGCACTGGAAGGCAAAGCAGGTGGACCCTCCCTTACTTACTTTTGCTTTTTCTTGTCGAATTTCTTTGGTCAAAGACTTTAAGGTCTTCAGCTGTTCCTGCAGGTCAGGGGGTATGGACTTCTTGACTATGGAGAACAGAGATCTTAGAGTCAAAAAATCAGATTTCTAAGGGGCTCCCAGTTCCAGCCTCACAATGAAGAACAACATGGATCATTTATCTGGCTTTTCCTGGGGGCTGGGGGGTGGGAGAGGGGATGGGAAGAAAGGAGTGTCTTTTTAGGGCTCCCCTGGTGGCTCAGTGGTAAAGAATCCACCTACAATCCAGGAGACATGGTTTCGATCCCTGGGTCAGGAAGATCCCCTGGAGGAGGAAATGGCAACTCACTCTAGTATTCTTGTCTGGAGAATTCCATGGACAGAGGAGCCTGGTGGNATCCCTGGATCAGGAAGATCCCCTGGAGGAGGAAATGGCAACTCACTCTAGTATTCTTGTCTGGAGAATTCCATGGACAGAGGAGCCTGGTGGGCTACAGTCCATGGGATTACATAAGAGTTGGACATGACTTAGCAACTAAACAACAATTACAAAAGAGTCGGACACAACTTTGCAACTAAACAAGGACAACAAAATCCTTAGCCTTAAAAGTCCACCGAATGCTTAATTTCCTAAAGGATATTACCCGTTTAACTCACAATTGCCACTCAAATCTTAATTCTCTGGGGCTAGAGCTGTGACTGTGCAAAGGTTAAGCTTAAATTTTCAACATTCTCTCTCCCCGTCCAACCCAGCACAGTCGTTTCCCTCTTGCTCAGCATCTTCCTGGTTGCTTTCCAGGGAGCCCAGCAGAGGCACAGGAAGCTGCCTCCCTCCTCTCTTGAGGCTCCTTCACTCCTACTCGTTTAATCTCATCCCTTGGACCCCGAGGGCTTCCCAGGTGGCCCAACAGTAAAGAATCCACCTGCCAAGCAGGAGACGTGTGTTTGATCCCTCGGTCAGAAAAGCCCCTGGAAGAGGAAATGGCAACCCACTCCAGTATTCCTTTTCTTTCTTTCTTTCAATATTTATTTACTTGGCTGCATCAGGTCTTAGTTGTAGCACTCAGGGTCTTTGTCGTGTGGCTCAAGGGCGTCTCTCTAGTTTCGGTGTGCCGGCTTAGTTGCCCTGCAGCATGTGGGATCTAGCTCCCTGACCAGGGATCAAACCTGTGTTCCCCTGCACTGGAAGGTGGATTCTTAACCACTGGACCACCAGGGAAGGCCCCACTCCAGTATTCTTGCCTGGGAAATCCCATGGACAGCGGAACATGGTGGGCTACAGTCCGTGGGGCTGCAGAGTCAGACATAAGTTAGCAACTAAACACCAACAACTTGGACCCTTGAAGGCTATGGGAGAACCCAGAATAGCTGAGAATGGAAATGCCCTTTTTGGGGTCTCAGGCAGAGGCGCAGGAGGAAAAAAGGATGAAATCAGCTGAGGAGGAGGACAGTGGCCTCTCCTCTGTGCATGCAGCACCCACCCATCAGTGCCAGCAGATACTGGATCTTCTCCGAGTTCGTTTGGCCAGCCTGTTCCTCATCCAGGTCCTTTATGTTCTCCTTAAGCTCCGTGTAGAGGGCGATAATCTCTCCCATCATACGAAATGTTTCCACTGCTATGGGGAAGCTAGGAGTCAATTTATCCAGTGATTCATGTCTCTCACTCTGAGTATCACTCCTTTCCGATGAGCCTCGGTTCAGATAGTCAAGGGAGTGTGTGCTCCTGGGAAAGAGGGCCTCTTGGCTTGGGGAAGTCTGAACAGAAACTCCAGCTTGGCTTAAGTTATATAGTTCTTTTGGACCCACACCTACCTGGACTTGCTGATCTACACCTTGATACCCTGGGCCACCAGACATTAGGCCCTGGGAGTCTGCGATAGAGTCAGGAACAGCCTGGTCACGCTGCTCTGGTTCAGGTGTTTCCAAATGCTGTTGATCTTGGGGTGAAGGTCCTATAGCTGTGCTTGATAGTGTTGGGCCACGCTGCAGCAAACCTTGTCGATACATTTCTCGTACCAAAACTTCTCGGTCTATACCTGATGGTGTCAGACCTTGACTGGCTAGGAGTGATGACACCCGACCATACTGATCCCTGCCAGGAGGTGCCACACCTTGCTGGTATGGACGTGGTGATGTCAAACTTCGAGAATCAGCACGGTATGTTGGAAACCCGAGAAGCTCTGTGCCTGGCGGTATTATGCTTCGACCTGTGCCAGACTGCCTCCCCCAATGCGGGTCTATTACAGGCTGAACCAAACCCTGCTGATCGGCACCAGGCTGCACGAAGCCACGTGGATAGGCACCAGTCTGGACCAGACCAGGAGGATATGCCCCAGGTGGGACCAAGCCAGGCATAGATATATTAGGTTGAAAAAAGCCATGTTGACCTCTACCAGACTGTACTAAACCATAATGATCCACTTGAGGTTGCACCAACCCAGGCTGGACTGCACCAGGCTGCACCACACCAGCCTGGCCTGCACCAGGCTGGATCACACCAACCTGACCTGCACCAGGCTGGATCACACCAACCTGACCTGCACCAGGCTGCACCAGACCAGCCTGGCCTGCACCGGGCTGGATCACACCAACCTGACCTGCACTGGTCTGGATCACACCAGCCTGACCTGCAGCGGGCTGGATCACACCAGCCTGGCCTGCACCAGGTTCAGTCACACCAGCCTGGCCTGCACCAGGTTCGAACACACCAGCTTGGCCTGCACCGGGTTGGATCACACCAGCTTGGCCTGCACCAAGTTCGATCACACCAGCTTGGCCTGCACCAGCTTGGATCACACCAGCTTGGCCTGCACCAGGTTGCACCAAATCAGGCTGACCTATATCAGGTTGCACCACACCAGGTTGACCCACAGCAGGCTGCACCAAACCTCGATGATACATTCTAGGTGGCACTAAACCTCGCTGATACATTCCAGGTTGCACCAAACCTCGTGGATACATTCTAGGCTGCATGAAACCAGGGTGACCTATACCAGGTTGGACCAAACCTCGTGGATACATTTCAGGTTGCACCAAACCTCGTGGATACATCCCAGGTTGCACCAAACCTCGTGGATACATTCTAGGCTGCACCACACCAGGCTGACCCATGCCGGGCTGGACCACACCAGGCTGACCCGCGCCGGGCTGGACCACGCCAGCCTGACCCGCGCCGGGCTGCACCACGCCAGCCTGACCCGCGCCGGGCTGGACCACGCCAGCCTGACCCGCGCCGGGCTGGACCACGCCAGCCTGACCTGCGCTGGGCTGCACCATGCCAGCCTGACCTGCACCAGGCTGGATCATCTCATGCTGCTCTGTGCCAGGTTGTATGAAGCCAGATGTTCCCAAACTGGGCTGTACAAAAACTTGCTGATCCATGGGATATATTACAAATCCATGCTGATCTACACCAAGAGGTACCAATCCAGACTGATATGTGCCAAGTGGTCCCATACCACTCTCATCCATTCCAGGAAGCTGATATGTGCTAAGTGGAACCATACCAGGCTGATCTATACTAGGCTGTTCTGATCCTTGCTGATCTCTGCCAGGTACCAATGTTGGCACTGCATCACTCTGAGCCATGCCAGCTAGTACCAATTCCTGCTCATCCATTCCAGGCAGCATCACTCCAACCTGATCCACACTGAGGGGTACCATGCCAGGCACATAAGTGCTGGGATATAGCGATTCAAACTGATCCAAGTCAAATGATCCAAGTCCATATTGATCAGGCCTTGCATAGAGGTGGCCTTGGCTAGTGAACACTCCCCTGTGCTGATCTGGGGACACCTGAGGGTGTCGATCTCTGGGCAAGGACACATCCTGATACACTGGGCCAAGGTGTGCATCCCGTTCATCTCTGCGTAGATGACCTAAGCTGTGCTGCTCTCTAGACCGGCGGCGGTCTGACTCTGCCCTCAACTGGGACATAGATGGCGGATGGGGTCTGGCCAGGCCAGCTTCATCACGGGCTCTTAAGTGCTGTTCTCTACCCGGAAACCCAGTAGCAGAGGAAACTCTGCTTCGTTCCCTGCCAGGAGGCCCATCAAAGGGGTATCCTATGCCGCTGGTTCCTGAAAAAGTCTTGTCTGTGATAAAACCAGCAGAGTCTATAGCCTGGTCAACACTTGGATGCATGGTGGAGACTCCACTTGCAGTGAGGTCATTTGATGTTATGGAACCCTGTCTTTTGCGCCGCTGAAGTCCTGTTGATGACTCTGAGATCTGGTGAAAGAGGAAGAAAGAAATCAGTGACTCTAAGGAAAAAGTACTCATGGTAAGAGAGGGTAGGAAGTCTGGGGTATCCGATGAAGATGATTTAGAGTCCTTGGGGAAAAAACAAGCACCCTTATAAAACTAAACTGGACACAAAGACTGACTGTGACATCCTTAAAAGACAGTTCTCCAGATTTTTGAGTCTGTACATTTGTAAATGGTGTCCTTATATGTAATTTTCCTCATAAAAAACAGGAGGGGGGAGCTCCCTGGTGGTCCAGTGGTTAAGAATCCATATGCCTGTGCAGGGGACATGGGTTTGATCTCTGGTCTGGGAAGATTCACATGTCATGAGGCAGCTAAACCTGCACACCACTACTACTGAAGCCTGTGGGCATAGATAGCTCATGCACCATGACAAGAGAAAGCACCACAATGAGAAGTCCATGCTCTGCAGCTAGAGAATCTTCCCTGCTCGTCGCAACTAGAGAAAGGCCACATGTAGCAATGAAGGCTCAACACAGCCAAAAAATAAATTAAAAAAAGGGGGGGGGACCTGCTAAACCACGTGATCAACTCCAGCTTTTATTGAGTCTACAAATAAAGGACATGAGTAATTTATTGAGTTTACAATATAAAGTCTACTCCACCATTGACCCATTGCTGGCAGTAGAAGCATACACAGTAGGGAAAGTAAACCATGTATTTAAAACGTAAAGCACAAACTCAGAAATTCCATAGATAGGAATTGTCTGTATTGACTCTCACAAAAGAACAGGCCAAGATACATGTACAAAGACAGAGTCTGAGGCATTGTTTATGAAACAGGTTATCCATAGGGGACCAAGAGGCCTCCCTGGTGGCCTCGTGGTTAAGACTCCATGCTTCTGGACTCCTTGGTGGTCCAGTGCTAAAGAATCTGCCTGCCAATGCAGGGAACACTGGTTTGATCCCTGGTCCAGGAAGATTCCACATGCCATGGAACAACTCTGCTCATGTGCCACAGCTACTGGGCCCGCACTCTAGAGCCTGGCTCTGCCACGTGACAAGCCACCACAGTGAGAAACCCGCGCAACTAGGGAACAGCCCTCACTCATCGAAATGAAAGGAAGTCTGCACACAGCGAGAGACCCAGCGCAGTCAAGAATAAACAAAATTCTAAACAGATGAACCGCGGGAGGTAGTCAACTCTGTTTTACAGAAGATTCTTCAAGACCTCTCCTCTAGGGATGCAACTGATACAAGAATTGCTTGAAGAGGAGGAGGAGGGAGAGAAAAAGAAGGTGGGAGAGAAGCCCCACGAGCACCTCTGGGTATATGAACAAAGCTGCAAAGATGTGCCCTGTCGGCCATCAGAACACACCCTTGGGAACAAGCGGTCAGTGTCCCTTCATACTCAAGTCCTGGGATGAGCACCTTCCATGTGAATTCTGAGCTCCTTGAACTGTGGTTGCTTCATGGACCGTGTCCTTTTTCGTGTCTGCGTCTCCAAGCATGGAATCCACTCCTCTGTACTCATCACACACTCCCCCTGTACTCACATCCAAGCTTCAATCCTGCCTGTCTGCTCATGATGCAGGCGGACAGTGTACCTCACAATCACCTCAGAGTTACTGCCAACAAGGCAAAAAAAACCCCAAAACATTAGACTCAAGCATGTTGTATTTCCTCAGCTTGAGAGAGTGAAACTCTCCACTGCTTTCATTATGGTCATTACTGACTCTTGCTTCTCAAAAATTAATATTTATATTTATTCTCATCCGCTTCTGGGGCTGTTCGTGATTCTGAGCAACTGTCAGAACCCTGACACTTTCTTACTTCTGGAAAAGTAAAAAGTCTAGAGGACTTCTGTCGAGGCTTATTTTTAGGTCTTGCAGGTGTCTTCTGCTGGTACCCTGAAAAATGTGCTACTCACTCGAAACACAGAACAGTGATATGTGGGTAAATGCAAAAAAGCTTTGGCTTCAAAAAAAAAATGACGGTGAAAGCAGAGGCCACCTTTTTATAGGCTGGTCACTTGGTTTGCAGGCTCTTTTTTGAACTCTCTGATGCTGCTTATCTCAAAGAGGGCCCTGAGCTCAGAAAACAAGGAGAAAGGTGTCTTTGTACCCAGATGGTATTTGGCGCACCCAGGATGGCCACTGGGTGGCGCGAAAGGGCTCACTCTCTTTCCCCTGCTTCTCTGTCCATCCGTGTGACCCTTTCTGAGGAATCCAGATACACAAAGTCAGAGGAAGAGGAATGTCAAGACCAAAAGGGCACCTGATCTTTGTCCTTGAGGGTCATTTGAAAATACCCACTTTGTTCAGACGAAGAAAGCTTGGTTTGGTTATCCTATGCACTGCCTCGAGGCAGATGCCACCCATGTGTACAAGTCCCCATCAGCAAAAGGCTCCCTGAACAGGTCTTATTTCCTTGGTTAGTCACCTTTGGGCACTAATAGTGAAGGGATTCATGCGTTTTAGGAAGGACTCTAAAGGAACTTTGAAAAGCTAGGAAAGCAAATCAAAACTATGCTCCAGGGATTTCCCTGCTGGTTCAGTGGCTGAAACTCCATGCTCCCAATGCAGGGGGCCTGGATTTGATCCCTGGTCAGGGAACTAGATCCCACGTGCTGCAACTGAAAATATCTCACATGCCGCAACCAGGATCCGATGCAGCAAATAAATATTTTTTAAAAATAAAACAAAACAAAACAAAGAAAATCCAGTATTGAGAAACAAGTCCTCTCCTCCGTTGTTTGTGGAATTCCAAATCGGAACCACAACCACAAAAGGCAATTTTGGCCAAAGCTAGCCAAACTATAAACATGTATTCTGTTTCTAGGAATTTACCCTATGAATACCTTCACTTGTGTGAATGTCACATTAGAGCAGGGTTCCTTATAAGCTTGAGGAAAAACATTAAAACTATCCATAATATTAATAGAAAACTCATGAATGAAATTATAAACACCCACATAACAGAACACTGTGGGTTCAGGGGCCCCTTCCAAGACCACTGCCCACCCCCAGGACCCCCCACCCTTATTTACCGTTTGTGAACCTTTCCAGCCATCAGTAATCGCCTGCTCCAGCTCTTCCCAGGTGACCATGGTGGCCTCTTCTGGAGACGGCATCCCACTCAGCTTCCGGTTTAATAATTCCTGACAGTGAAAGACCACACACACAGACAAGCACAGACACACCCCTAGTTTAATCCCAGGAAGCTTTAGGAACAGAAGAGAACAGCACAGGATGGGGTGGGTCTTTCCGAAGCCCCAAGGAGAAGTACTGTCCTTCAAGAAACCAGTGCATCTTGGGTGGCTGGTTTCGTGTCCTGTATGGGCCCCAGATGGACCAATGAGCAGGGAAAGAATGTTCCCACATGCCATGGACGGCACCCCAAGAGGCAGGGGACATACATCACCCTAGAATGAAGGCATGCAGACCCCTGGGGTGGGAATCTGGGTGAGCTCCGGGAGAGGGGCCAGGCTCTGGGCAACCATCCTACCCCTAACCCCCCTCTCTCAGAACCCACCCTTTCCCTCAGAACTGGCTGATATTACCAGGAATTCGTCCCTTTCTCTAATTATCCTCTCCAGTTCTTCAATTCGCTGAAGGAGTTTCTGGAAGAAGAGTTCAGAGATTGAGGATCAAAACAGCCCCTCCAGTGGCCCCTACACATACACTCACACACACAAGGCAGAAGAGGAAAGGAGGTCCTTGGGTCTTAGAGGAGCCCAAGGTACAGGGAAGCTTGCCAAGCCAGGCTCCCCATTCTCTTCCCAAGCAACAAGAGGAAGGGACATGAGGCGTGGTGGGTGGTACCTGGGGGCTGCGTGCCTCGGACAAAAATGGTGCGGGGATGGGACCCTTTCTTTGGTCCCAGGATGCATTTCATACAACCCACTAGTGGGACTTTGGAATCAGACTGACCTCGCCTCTCAAGAACAAAGACGATTGGGTGTCTGAAAGTCTGCACTGTTTAAAGAGAAAAGTGCCTCTGAAGGATCAACGCAAATCGCTACCACTTAAGTGGCTCCTTGGGGCTTCCTCGGTGGCTCAGTGGTAAAGCATCCGCCTGCCAATGCAGGAGATGCGGGTTCAATCCCGGGGTCAGGAAGATTCCCTGGAAGCGGAAATGGCAACCCACTCCAGTATCCTCGGCTGGGAAATTCCTTGGACAGAGGAGCCTGGTGGACGACAGTCCATGGCGTTGTAAAATGTTGGACACAACTTAGCAAAACAACAACCACAAGTGGCCCCTTAGAACTTGGGCAAAACTTCAGAATCTACCAATCTAAAGGTAAAACAACCTTTAGTCTAAAGACCAAAGACAAACCCCAAACCTAAAAATGTGCTTGGTCACTTGTGTCTGACTCTTTGCGACCCCGTGGACCGTAGCCTGCCAGGCTCCTGTGTCCCTGGGGTTTTCCTGGCAAGAATACTGGAGTGGGCTGCCACGCCCTCCTCCAGGGGATCATCCTGACCCAGGGATCAAACCTTTACTGCTGAGTCACTGGGAAAGCCACAAACCTAAAACCACCACAACTTTAAAAAGAAAAGCTTCCCAGAGCAAAAATGAGTCTGGCCGGAGGTCTGAGATGAAATGGGCACGTGGGCCTGGTGGCGGGCCCCCTCTAGGGTCTTGGTGGCCGCCTCCTTTGAGCTTTTTTTCTCCCTCAAGTCTCTCTTCTCTCCCTGGGCTTCCTCCAAACTGCTCCTCCTTATTCCAGCTCTAATCCCAGACTCAGCCTCATACAGGCCTGAAACAGGAGCCGGGCCTGGTATCTCCTGGAACTGACCTGTACCAGGGCTCTGCTGTTCATTGGGAAATGCTTACACTCAGGGCTTCCGGCTTCTCCCTCCAAGGAAACAAAGATCCAAGCGAGAGAGGTGTTGCCTGGGGGGCTGCGGGTGGTGACCCATGACGCTCTCGTTCTAGCTCCCTTCTCTTGGACCAAACTTTATCCCTCAACACCCACCACCATGCTCCTTTATTTAGTTTAAAGGAAAGTCACTTAAAAACATTCTGAGAAGTTCTTGGGCCCTCTCTGGGTCTGTTCAGGACGCATGGGTGTCTGACAAGGGGTGGGTGAGCCCCGGGTAAACAGAGGGGAGGAAGGAGGCTGCCCAGGAAGGGGGTCAACTCAGCCCCCCAAGGTGGGGGCCCCTGCCGCCCTCACCTCGGGCTGCAACTCAGGCTGCTCCTTCTTTTGATGGGCTTCCTTCAAAATCTTCATGTCTTCCATGAGGTCCTGGAGCAGCTCGGGGCCCTAAGAGGTAGAAAACCAGCCGCAGGGCTCCCGGCCTGCACCGGCCTTCCCACGCCTCCCTCTGGGCTCCGGGACTCCTCCCAGGAGCGCGGCTCCCTGGGGGCGCGGCGCTGGAGAGCGGCCTGGAGGGGGCGGGCCGCCCGCACACCCACCTGGAAGACCGGCTTGGTGTCCTTCCTGCCTTTCGTTGGCCCTGCCTGCCCCCTCTCCTGCGCCAGCAAGGCCGAATCCTTCGTTTCCAGCCAGTCGCGGTCTTCCAGCCCGCCAGTCTGGGTGGGGAGGTGCCGCACGTGCGCCACGATGGCCTGCACCTGGCTCCCCATGGTCTTGAGCTGCCGGCCGAGGTCCTGGACCTGGCCGCCCAGGTCCTTCACCTGGGTCTCCAGCGTCTGCGCCCTGGCCACGCTGCTCCTTCGCCTCTCTTTGGGCCCCGGCAGCTGCGGGGTGCTGGTCGACGCCCGCGCGGACTCAAAGGAGCGGCTCTGGTCGAGCATCGGAGACTGGAAGTCGATCCGCGTATCCTGCAGGTTGAGGCTCTTGAGCATGGCCACAAGGAGCGTGTGCAGGGCCATGAAGTTGACGGCGCCCACCTCCGGGGTGCCGATGGCGAGGTCAGCCAGCTCCCGGAGGGAGACCGAGGGGGCCGACGTCGCGGGCGGCATCGTGCGCCTTCTCCGGCGACCGCCTGCCTGCCTTACTGCTTGCCCCGCCTCCGGGCCCTTTCAGGGCCCCTGAGGCGCCCCGGGGCGCCCCTGCCCGTGGGTTCAGCCGCGCTGGACACCAGTCTCGGTCTGGAGCCTGTCTGAAGGACGGAGAGGAAGCGCCCGGCCACGGGCTTCCCACTCTTCGTTCCCGGGAAACCCGGGTCCCGGGACCGCAGAGCCTCTGCTGTCAGCCCGCCGCCATCCGATCACCGAGCTCGAACTCGGGAGTGCAGTGTCCAAGCGGCCGGCGGACGTTTGGAACGAAGTTCGTGGCCCCGTTCGCTGCCCGGTTGTGGGGGGCCCCACGCGCATTCGGAGGATTCCACGGAAGAACGCGCCCAGCAGAGAGTTAGCCTCGGAGGGGAGACCTGCTGGTCTTTGAAGCCACCCCAGACCCAAGGAGAGCCTGTTCTAGTGGGTTGGGAAGCCCTGGTCACACCCCAAAGCGCCACCAATTTTGGTTCTCAGTAAACGCCCCCCACCCCCACACCCAGGGAACACATCAATTTGGGGGTAGAAGGGTGGAGGCCCCCTAAGGCTCACCTAGATTCCAGCTGGTTCACTCAATAATGCAAAGATTTTAGGAGGCCTCATGGCCACTGGGTTTTGTGTGTTCCCTTCATAGGGCAATGGCAATCTAAGAGACACAGTTGTGAGACCTTGGCCCCTTGGGCACAGTTCCCATATCTGCTCAATCAGAGGGAAGGTAACTTAAATACCAGTCACACTATCCAGGTGGTTCTAGTTAGCCACCAGCTGATAGGACTTTCTGTGCTGCCCTGGCCTCGCTTATCTCAGAACAGATTCATGTGGTCATGTGCCAGCATCTCCCCTGGTTACACGGCAGGGCTGATGAGATAGGACCACGGGGAAAGTGATGCTCTCAGCAACTGAGGCTTGTTCTCCCATGCCAGATTCTCCCAGGAAATGGGTACCGCTTTCAGTGTTTACCTTCCAGATAAAGAAAACCTGCACCGGCACTTATACTAGATACTATTTTCACTACTTTTCAAAGTAAAATTTTTAGTTTGAACTGGTAAAATTGAAAGCCTCCATGTTCACTCCCTACGCCCCTCCAAAATAAAAGCAGTGTTTCTTGGAAATGGAGTTAACGAGTCTGTAACCTCCATGAGGGTTAACAACCCAAGGATTTTTGTTCACTATAATATTCCCAGAGCCTGACATACAGCAGGCCTTCAGAGGGGTTGTTGTGATCAGAAGAAATTATTTAGACCTCCCTGGTGGTTTAGTGGTTAGGACTCTGAGTGTCCACTGCCGAGGGCAGGGGTTCGATCCCTGGTTGGGGAACTAAGACCCTCACATGCTGCGAGAAGTGGCCAAAAAATAGGGAGAAAAAATTCTTCGCAGTCTTTCGTGCACATACACTCCTACATTAGAAAACATAAAGGCAGGTCAGAGTCATAGCTGAAGCTTTTGGATTGAGCGTCAGCTGTATTGGAGGGTGAAATGTGTGGGCTTAATTGATTCTAAGTTCAGGGACCTTCCAGAAAAATATGACTGCTACTACACTAGCTAAGGCCAGAACATCAACTCTCTGGGCCCTCATGTTTCCATTTTCACGTCCGAGACTTGCTATCATGCTAGGCACACACTGCTGCTGCTGCTGCTGCTAAGTCGCTGCAGTCGTGTCCTACTCTGTGCGACCCCCTAGACGGCAGCCCACCAGGCTCCCCCGTCCCTGAGCACACACTAGGACTCACTAAATGTCAATGCAAAGGGCTTATTCTAACATACTCCAATTCTAACCCCAGGAACTGTACACCCAAATGCTTCTGTTAAATAAGTACCTTTAAAATCTCTTGGAGACACAGAAAACACTTACTGGAGGTGTAAATGGAATTTGGGTTGAAAAGGACCTTGGCTTTTGATTTCAAACCTCCCCTTTGACAGCTGATGAGAGAGACCTGGGAAGGGTCATTGGCCCAACCTCCAGGACAAAACCAGTCTGCTGAGTAACAGCAGTCCACGACACTTCGTCTACAACCACGGGAATCATTTCACAATTAAGTTCTTTTCTCAAGATCCTCCTACTTGGACTCTTAACAGAAGGCAACTTTTTTGTGTGCTTGAGAAAGGGAATGTGTTCAAGTCTCCATGGTGGGCTGGGGAACTTTCCTAGCTGTTAGGAAAGGGAGAAGAATGTCCAGGAAACTTCCCCACAGAGAAATGCAATGGTACAAGCAAGTGAATCGGTGTTTATTTAATCTCAGGAACCAACAGAACAAACGAGCAACTGCAGTTCATTTCCGGGCGGACACTGCTCCCTCCCGTCTCATTCAGGTCTGACTTGGATCAGACTAGAAGAAGTCTACATGGCACTTGCGGCAAGGCCTGCCTGACAAATAAGATGTCGACTACAACAGAACCACGACTGTGTCATTTTCAGTGTTGGCAGAGAAATGAAGTGCAGTCCTAAGTAACGCAACCAAACTAAATGTCACCTAGCACACAGGGGAAAAGTACAGTTTAGGTCTATTAAAATAAAAACTGCCACCTAGGTTTCAAATATTGAACATTCAAACATTCAGATATGAATATTCAAACATTCACTTATTATTCAACAAGAATTTAACTTCAGGGAACGTGAGGGGAGGGGAATGGAATGTGCAGAGGGGCACGTCTGTCCAGGGCTGGGGCCAGCCGGACCTGGGTTGTCCCGCATTCAAGGCACTGGCTTCTGCAGCGTCTGGACAGAAGGCAGGAGAGTGGGCAGCTCTGCAGTGAAGACACTAACACCACAGCAAATTCTTTTATTTGCAATTTAAGAGTAACGCAGGGATCCAGAGATAAGCGTGACTCGCTAATGTGAAGTCCTTGCTAGGAGCACCACAACCAATGCATCGTTGTTCACTGACTGTTGGCAAGCGGGTTCTTAAAGAAAAATAGGATTCTCTAGAAAAGACTTGGAGAAAGCTGACCGGTGAGACGACAAGTGGAACAAGAACGGTGCTCAGCTTCCCTAACTGGGTTCAACATTAACACGGATGTGTCCTGCGGTGGAAACAACTGAAAGAACGTTAGAGGGTCAGGGTTTCATCTGCCTTTCACTCCCTTTCAACACAAGCAAGATTTTCAGATTCTATTCAGGAAGGCATCTAGCTCTTTTAAGAGACAGGATGGTGACAGCAGACAGCTGAGGATCCCTGCTGTCCCCTGGACTATCTTAACGCCTCCTACCCACCGAACGTGGCAAGAGAAACCACGTGCCTCCCTTGAGAGGAAACACCGTGCACATAATTGACGGCACTGCTCTCCACACGTCTTCCTTAGGAGCTCGAGGGCGCAGGCAACCGCGAGAGCTAGTCGTCCACTGTGATGTTCCGGAAGAGGTACGCCATGGACTCCCCGTTGTGGATTCTCCGGATCGCCTCAGAGAGAATCAGGCTGACGTCCACAGTCTTTATCTTGGGGCACTGCAGCTTCTGCACCTCGTGAGGGACAGTGTTCGTCACCACCACCTGGTTGACGCGGTGATGCAAAATGAACACTGTCACTGACGTCGTGTGGCCTGAGGTGGTCACTTGGAAACGTGTATCTAACATTTGGTGCCCACAGACCAAGTCTCAAACTACAAAACCTTACTTCACAGGGTATGTTTTTACAAACTAAACCAACATTCAAGGGAAGGGGTTCAAAAGAGAAGCTTATGGAGGTCTTCGTCTATGTATGCAGAAATGATAGGGTGAGACCCAGCTCTGCGAGAAACCTTCCTATTAGGGAAGAATTTAGGTCTTGAGAGAAATGCTACTTTAGAATGAAATTATACTGAAATACAAATTATACTGAAGTACAGAGAGCAAGTCTTTATGAAAATAGACATATTCTAACTGTGCACGCATGTGTGCTAAGTCACTTTAATCATGTTCGACTCTTTGCAACCCTACAGACTGCAGCCCACCAGGATCCTCTGTCCATGAGATTCTCCAGGCAAGAATACTGGAGTGGTTGCCATGGCCCCCTCCAGGGGATCTTCCCAACCCAGGGATCGAACCTGTGTCTCCTGCGGCTCCTGCACGGCAGGTGTATTCTTTACCGCTGAGCTACCAGGCAAGCCCCTATTTCTAACTGTAAATCTGACATCTGCCCAGACTGCTAGCCACCCAAAGCATGATTTCAGTCCTTTGGAGGGAGAAAGTGATACTGACTGAGCCACTGAACTATCCACAGAAGACAGAGCAGCAAATCATGACTCAGGAGCAGACAGACCTCTAAGTTAGGCTAAGTGCACTTCCCTGAATGGCTCACCCAGGACGTCTACCTTACAGGGAAATAATGTTAGCTCTTTCCGTATAAAATAAAGATTTAAAACCTCGAAAAGAGCAGACAGACCTCGTCGATGGAGGACTCCTCGATCAGACGGGGGGCCTCTGCGGACAGGATGCCGTGTGTGGCCATGACGTAGATCCTGTAAGCGCCTCTCTCCTTCAGAATTTCCGCAGCGGCCACGAAGCTCTCCACGTCGTCGATGATGTCATCCTGCGGACAGACCCACGCTCGGGCTCGAGGAGGTCCCTCCACCCCCGTCTGTAAACACGCGCCTCTCTGCACTTTGCTTCCGAGGTTGTCCAATGGAAGAACGGAGCCATCCGCCCGGGTCAAAGACAGGACTGAACAGCCCTCGGCAGCGGCAACAGAGCCGCGTGGACTGAACTTCAGAGGAGAGCGCGGCAAAGCCTTACAGCGTGACATTCCGCTTCAGCTCAGGAGATCTCCCAAGATTCCTCTCCCTATCTATTTCAAACTTCTGATGAAAACCACATAGCCAGTGTCTCATTTACTGTTTGCCCAAGAGAAAGTTAACTGATGGGAACAGAGCAATGAAGTGAGCCACAGTAAAAGTCTGATCCTGTGGCCCAGCAGACGCAGTTAAGAGCTGGGAGCACAGGTACTGTGTTAAAGTAACAAAGGAGACACATGTTCTCATTGGTGAAAATGGAAGGGCCGTCTAGCTCACGTCACGGCCCACAGACTTAAGGGTGAGGAGCAGGGTCAGCTGGTTTGATAGAACCCAGGGCCCTGAAGACAAGGTTATTTGTGGAACTGAATTTACTTACAGGTGCTACTACTGTGCTCATTTTACATGTGTTAAGTTGTAATAATGATCTCTGTTCATCTGCTTTAAAAGCTTCTGCTACTTGTCCTAGGGGGTCCAAGGCCAGATGGATCCGTTTAAATGTACGATCATCACCGGACACCCATCCCAAGATGGACATTAGTAGGTCTGCACAGGACGGGAGATGGTGACCTACCACTATGATCGCGATGCGTCCTCCCACATCTCCAACTACCGTTATGGGCGGCTTCTCCTTGGCCATCATCACTAGGAAAGCAAAACAAATCACAAGATCCCAGTCAGCCAAGGGTCACTAGGTGAATGAAGTCATCACATCACATACCCTGGAACGGGTGGCAGAGCCCGAACAGACAATTTAAAAATGTGTGGATTCCCCTTAGTCAACCTGAGGCCTCTCAGAGATGGGTTATCTAGAGGAGCACCGTTCACCAGCAAGGAAGCCGAGTTTAAACTTTACATACCCACATCACAAAGCAAAAAGAAACAGATGAAATTCACAGATTTTTCCTGTACTCAGTATACCTAACATATTATCATTTTGACACAGAATCGATATGCACCTTTATTAGAGACTTTTTTTCCCCTCATCACTGTCTTCTTATTTGGTGTGCCTTCTCCACACATGGTGATTCTCAGTTGGGACAAACGGCATTTCAAGGGTTCAGTGGCCCCGTGTGCCCAAGACCCAGACCACGCTGGGCGCTCGGGGGCCTCCAGAAGGAGGGTGGAGGAGCAGAGCGAGAAAGAGCTCACTGGTACAGAGAAGCAGCCCGACCGACCGCAAAGCCACTCAGAACAGAAACAGAAATGTAAATAAATGCCGCTGAGAAAGTAAACAGGGAAATGCTGTCAAAGAGCTGGCTTGACTTCATTTTCTTCCATGGTGACCTTCCTGGGACAGAGAATGTAACCTCACTATCAAACAACTACACCACAGACATAATCAGTTTCCTGAAAATTAGGAAGCTGAAGACAATAATCACAAGTCCATCATCTTTTCCTGATTTAACTGGTCCTTAAAGTTGAGGCTTCTTATCTACTACAAAATTTACATGTGAAAAAGGCCCATCCTGAATACAAAGCAAACTACAGGATGCAGAAGGGACAGAGGAATTCACTTTGCAAAGGGGGTTAAGTAAACTGGGCATGCAGCGTGCTAAATTGCTTCAGTTGTGACCGACTCTGCGACCCCATGGACTACAGCCCGCCAGACTCCTCTATTCACGGGGACATTCTCCAGGCAAGAATGGAGGGGTTGCCGCGGCCTGCTCCAGGGGACTCTCCTAACCCAGAGATGAACCTGCGTCCCCCAAGGCTCCTGCACTACAGGCAGATTCTTCACTGCTCAGCCACCAGGGAGGCCCCAGTAAACTGAGGGGGCAGAAGTATTTCAGAACAGACATTCTGCTTTTTTGGGAAAGCTTTTTAATTTTTTCTAGCCACTTCCCCGATCTGTGCCCCCCTGCACTGGGAGTGTGAAGTCTTAACCACCGGACCGCAGGGGAAGTCTTGGAAAGCTTCTTTTAATTCTGAAATATCTGCTGTAGGAGTAGTGAGGGAAGGGGAAGAGGCTAAATTCAGGGTAATTCTACAGTTCAGTGATCATCAGCAGGCCATCCACCAGAGCTGACTCCTCTCGACAGGTGCTGTAAACCTGCAAGAACAGGTGTCCCTCCGCGTGTACCAGCAAATCAGTCAGGCTGAAATCCAACACCACATTACTGGCAAACTTCAACAGACATTTCCTGATTTCCCATCCCGGAAACAAGGGCAATTTCCTGAATTTGGGCAGTCACAAAGGCTCTGCATATAAGCATCACCTAAAAGAGAAGGAAGTAAACCACCAACATCAGAAAAACCTTCCTCAAATCCTGTCTGTAAATTAAACCATGTGGGTAGGTGGTTATGCTGACCTCCCCACTTCTTAAAGAGAGTGGTCCCTTTCTTGACCATTTTTCTCTGTAAAAATAGGAAAAGACTGCAAGCTAGAGTCCCGTCAGACCGCAGCAGACACTCGGCTCTCGTTTGATGCTCCTGTCGACTCTTTGGTAAGCTTACCTTCCCCCCCCCCCAAATTCTATCAGTTTGAAATGAAAAAACAGGCATGGCTAGGGTTGAGGCCTAAAAAAAAAAGACTAAGAAAACAAAAGCTTCACGCCTGGTACACTCAGTCCCTGCTCATAACTGGCTTTGGGAGCAGCACAAACTCAACACGCAATTTGGTGGTGACTAAGAGAGACAGACTTCATTAGAGCATCAAGAGAACAGGCCCCCACAGGACCTCCCTGGTGGCGCGTTGGGTTAAGAATCCGCCTGCCAATGCCGGGGACATGGGTTTGATCCCTGATCTGGGAAGATCCCACATGCTGCAGGAGCAGCTAAGCCCGTGCTCTGCGACAAGAGAAGCCGCCGCAAGGAGAAGTTCTCGCACCCAAACCAGAGAGTAGCCCCTGCTCGTCACAAGTAGAGAAAAGCCCGTGCAGCCACAAAGACCCAGCACAGCCGGAAATAAATCAACAAATAAATTACTAACAACAAAAAAGTTAGGTATCAGGTGAAAAGAGCTACATCACTAAAATAAATGCTAGTTACCTGATCACCAAAGCCTGATATTTGACCAATGTTTGCCAACATCCATCTTGTGTGCAGGTGTACTAAGTCGCTTCAGTCATGTCTGACACCGTGACCCTACAGACTGCGGCCCACGAGGCTCTTCTGTCCACGGGATTTTCCAAGCAAGAATACTAGAGTGGGCTGCCATGCCCTCCTCCAGGCAACCTTCCTGACCCAGGGATCCAACCCGTTTCTCTTAAGTCGACTGCATCGGCAGGCAGGTTCTATACCACTAGCACCATCTGGAAAGCGTCATCACCCATCTTACCAAAATACAAACGCTTAAGATTTCATACCACTACACATACAACTTTTTATTAAAGCCAAAATTATTTCACACTCTTGGAAAGCCAAGGGCTACCCATATTAGCTCTACTGTCCTCAATGCCTACAAATGTGTGTAACAAAATATTTCACCAAAGGCGAAACCACTGTAATACCATTCAATTATTTTAAAATACCAAGATAGCATGTCACTTATAAACAGAATCTAAAAAAGCACACAGATGAACTTATTTACAAAACAAAACAAACTCACAGACTTAGGAAACAGACTTATGGTTACCAAAGGGGAGAGGTATGAAGGGAGATAAGTTAGTTAGGAGTTTGGGATTGACAGATATGCTAACATGTACACTGTGTATGTGAAACAGTCAGCATGGGCCTCTGCACAGCACAGGGACTCTGCTCAATACTCTGTAATACGCATAAGGGAAAAGACTCTGAAGAAGAATAGATATACGTGTGTGTAATATGTGTAATAGATATAATAATTAAACTAGGCTCCCCTGGTAGCTCAGTGGTTAAGAATCCACCTGCCAATTCAGGAGATGCAGGTTCAATCCCTGGATCAGGAAGATCCCCTGGAGAAGGAAATGGCAACCCACTCCAGTATTCTTGCCTGAGAAATCCCATGGACAAAGGAGTCTGGTGGGCAACAGTCCATGGGGTCACAAAAGAGTCAGACACACAACTTAGCAACTAAACAGCAACAACCACAAATAATTAAACCACTTTGCTATACACTCAAAATTAACACGGTACTGTAAATCAACTATACTCCAATATAAAGTAATTTTTAAATCATATTAATACTAAAAAAAGAAATAAAATCTAAAACTTGTAATAATACTAAAAAAAGAAATAAAATTTCAAACTTGTAAAAAAAAAAAAATACCAAAATACATCCATGTAGGAATGAACTCCTAGCCACTCCTACTATTCAAAACTGTCTTCGATTTACAAACAGAATAAAGACACAGCTGATCTTACACGGCAATTCCAGCCCTGGGTGGACAGTCGCGTTCTTGACCATCGGCGGGGAATGGCGGCCATCGTCCATGTCCATCTCCGCACACTGGGCCTCCCCATGGATGACAGCCAGGCCCAGACGCAGCCTCTCTGCGTACGACTGGGCCCTGAGAGGAAGCCAACGGGAGAGGGTGAGATGCATGGGAAGAAGACCCAAGCGTGGCTTTTTCATCACTTCATTAACCACAGAATGAAAATACCAGTCCACATTTTAGGGACACGCAAAGTAACTGTTTCTGCAAGTCACAATGTGAGGCTTGGGCCAGAATGCAAATGTCTCAAGAGGACCCCAAGGTGGGAAGTGGGCTGACATCTGACTTTGGTCATTTTGGTTCTACTCTTTGCCCAACAGCCTAACATTCATTTTTAGTTGCTTTTTGGTTTTGTTTTTTTCTCTACTTTTTGGCTGCCTGTCACATCAGGATATTAGTTCTCTAGCCAGGGAGGGAAGCTGAGACCCCCCCGCAGTAGAAACTCAGTGTCTTAACCACTGGACTGCCAGGGAAGTCACTCATCTTCAGAATTCTGTTCAAAAAGGTCTCAAAAACCACTGCCTGAAAGGCGCTTGTGGCATTCCTGTTTCCCTTTTGCTGAGAACTCGAAGGACTTAATTTTCTCCCAAGGGAAAACTGAGTAATTCCAAGAACCACACATGTTATTTGGAGACTAGAGGTAAAGCTGTGGTTTGGAGTATGACAGTGACTTGGGGGAAAGCTGGACTTGTGAGCTTTCACAGGCTGTATGTGGACAGACCCTGGATCCTAACACAGCCCATTTTGACTTCAGAAGCACCCGAAAGCGATGAGTGTGTCTAGCTTATTTACCTTTTTGCAGCATCAGGCGATTTAGCTACAATGACTGCATTTCTGTAATTTGGAATCTAGATTTGGAGGAAAAATAAGAAAATACTGAAAAGATATCAAAAAAATAAATAAATAAACAAAAATACTTGGGTGCTGGCATTACATAATTTTTTCCTCTTATAAAAATGATCCATATTAGCAAATAAGTATGCTAGAATCTCAATTCACACAGTTACCATTTTTTAATCCCTATCAATTAGCATCATGGCCAAAGTAGGCTACATCAAGAAGATAAAAAACAATTCTTAAAACCTTCATTTTAAAAAATATAAGCAAATGGCTAAAGATAATTAGAAGGAAATCTGTCTTTAATGTCTTTAAAAAATAAAAGATCCTCTGTGCCTCAACGCTGACCCTGGCTGGTTGCCTCAGGCATTAAGACTTCAGCAAGAGATCATGTGATCACCCTTTGTGCCTTTCAATATGGAAACCTGGTACCAGAGAAGAACTACATGGGGTCTCTTTTGAGGACAAGGGGGTATTTGCTGGTGCTCCTCACTTCTTCCTGGATATACTGAAGCAGGAAAGGTGAGGCTCTAAGGTTGTCCACGGGAAAGCTGAAAAAGCCTTGTATTTCCTTTTGATGAAGATCCATAGTGATAATGTGAGTTAAACCTGAAATTTTAAAACACAAAATTACAAAGTTCACCCCTACAAATTGACGGCTACAGTGGACACAAACTAGGCGCCCAATGCCTGCTTCCTAACAGAAGGCAGGGGGTACTGTGCAGAAGTGCGCTGGTTCTATACCTTATTTGCAACCTTAACAAAACTTAGTAAAGACAATGCTAAGCCTGATGTAAAGAAGCCCATAAACTTCCACACGGATTAGAAAACTAAACCTAGAAAGAACAGCGCTTCCTTCTCCTCTAACCATTAGCTTGGGCCTGAAAACTAGAGAAAGAAAAATCAGGCAGAAGCAAAAGTATGAATAGGGCATTAAATACTGGAGCAAAAATAGATGTTAAAAACAAGTAAGGCCTTGATTAAAGAATCTAGGAAGAAATGTTGAAGGGTTGTAGATAAATGAAGAAGGAACAAGAAAGCAAAAGCAAAGTAATATATATATACTAGAAAGAAAGAAACCACAAAACACAAGGATAAGACACTGAAGAGTCTGGAAAAATCTGTGTTATGTCCTAAGAGAATGGGTTAGGAAGTACGCCTACAGAAAAACAGTGAAAACATACTCTTATAATCAACAGTGCTAAACAAAAGAAAATGTACATTCATGGCAAGTGGCCAAGCTCAGTGAAAAATTTCCAGAGCAAAATTTCTGGTTCTTTGGAAAGAACCAGAATGACTTGTTCTTTCCAAAAACATTACACATTTTTAAAGAATGGAATTCAAATATGTTTCTGAGGACTCAGATCTATATTTGAGTTTTTAAATAAACATGAAGCAAATAAAATCCCGACAACTGAAAGGTTATTACATTGAACAGAAAGTATGTCAGTACAAAAACATATGATGAAATGATCTGCTATACAGAAGGGAGGGAGAAGAGAGTATGTAAGCTGAAAAAATGGTAAAAGAAAAACCCAGTTTTACTACTATGTACATACACTGAATTTTGTGCTATTGCGTTTGACTCTTTGTGACCCCATGGACTGTGGCCCGCCAGGCTCCTCTGTCCACAGGATTATTCCAGCAAGAATACTGGAGTGGGCTGCCATTTCCTCCTCTAATGGACTTTCCCAACCCAGGGCTCAGATCAAACCCACGTCTCCTGTGGCTCCTGTATTGGCAGGGGGGAATTCTTTATCACTGAGCCCCCTGGTAGCTAAGGTTTAAACAAATCTAGACCGAAGCTCAAAAGATCACAGCCGAATGCCAAGATGGTCAGCTAAAATTTCAATGATGATAAGATGACTAGGACATAGAATGTGGAAAAAGTCCAAGTTAAGAGAAAAGAATCCTGAAACAAACAAGGTCACTCTGAAGTGGGACAAAGAGGAAAAAAAATGTACACCTAAGCTCACAGATCCTTAACCAGAATTATGCAAAAACAAGCAAGACAAAGAAACTACCCAACAACACTCAGAGAAACAGGTAACCACCAACCACCTATGGCTGGTGGGGTATGGACTACTCTGGCCCGGGGAGGGTCCTAACTGCCGGTATAGGGCCCCAGGCGTGGGCCGCACTCACCTGCTTTTGCCAGCATGGATGCCAGGAGCTTGCACACAATGGAGCCCCTCTTCCGCATCTTGCTCTGCTTGCTGTAGGGGAAGTAGGGGATGACGCCAATGATATTCCGGGCACAGGCGGTCTTCAGTGCATACGCCATGATCAGCAACTCCATCACAGCCGTGTTCACGTCTCTGAAACAGGTGATTTGTCCTTTGGGATTAATGTCATTTATTAACCCCTGGCAAGGATCTCAATCCCAGCAACCTGACCTGGGTTGCCAAGATGGGTGTTAATGTGAATCATCTCAGTAACTTAGGATGGCACCTCCTGAATAGAGGAGGAAGCTGGTTCACTTTTCTTTTGAGCTGAGTGAACTCTAGTTTGCATCTGAGGTTACTGACATTCACAGCACCATCATCCACACTCATCTCTGCCTGGATCTTGTCAATGACCCGGTCATGGGAGTGGCAGGTGAAGCAGATGTTGACTGCTGATGACCGGTTAACCCACACCTGCTGGTACCATCCCCAGGATCTGAACTCAGGCCAGGGTGCTGGCACCTCCTTTTCCTGGGAACACCATGGGAAATCCACAAGCCCTTCCACTTAGCTGAAGGAATTTGGTCTTTTCTTTTTTTTTTCGGGTGGAGAGAAGGGTGAGTGGGGCAGGAAGGTCTTGGAAGTTAATTTCCAAAAATCTCCCCCATCCCTTCTTTCCGTGAGATACACAGATTCACGTGCGTGCTTTGTCGCTCAGTTGTATCAGACCCTTTGCCTACCAGGCAAAAGGGCATGGACATAGCCTACCAGGCTATACTCTGTCCATGGGATTTCCCAGGCAAGAATCCTGGAGTGAGTTGTCATTTCCCTCTCCACAGGAATCTTCCTGACCCAGGAATCGTCTCCTGTGGATCCTGCATTGGCAGGTGGATTCTCTACCACTGAGCCACCTGGGATACAAAGGTTACCCAGCTAGACAAAGAAGGAAATGTGAATCTGAAAGGTATTCAAAGGAAAGGCTATTTCCAAATTTTAATGAATGCTGAGTGCCACCCTTTGCCAAGACTGATCAAGTAGCAGGTAGGGCTCTGCTCTTAAAGGGCCTTGAAATCCTTCAGGATGACCTTCCAAAGTTCAATCCTCTCTCTCCAGCCTCCTCCCAACTCTTCTTGGAGTTGTCCGTCCTCAAACACCCTTTCTTTGGCATTAGGAGTGTATTTCCCTTGCCTTCCCAAGATAGAGAAGATCATTTCCCATGTCCGAGTTCCCACTCAAGTGAGGAAAAGGCTCTTCAGATTATACTTTACAAAAAAAAGAAAAAAGGAAAAGTTTTACTTATTTATGTTAATTTTTGGCCATACCCCGTGGTATGTGGGATCTCAGTTACCTGGCCAGGGACTGAACCTGCATCCCTGATTTGGAAGGCAGAGTCTTAACCACTGGACCACCAGGGAAATCCCTGGATCATTTAGTTCTTGAATCACCTGATCAAAATGGAAAGGCCTGCCATCAACACAGCAGAAACTTAACAAATGACTGTTGAATAAGTGGAAGAATGAAATACTCATCATGAAATGCTTTTCAGCTTGAAAGACTGTCAGGCTGCTTCCCCCTAGTCTCTTCCAGTTTATATTCACACCTGTGCACCTGGGAGGGAGCGATGCAAAGACACCCTTTCCCTCTGACACTGTTTCCGCACCCATGTTCACTGGGGGGACTCCTTACCTCCCCTCTGTAGTCTGGACTTTTCATGACTATTTCAAGGTTCAGTCATAAGCTTCTATGTTTACTTCTCCCACAGGGTAGGCAGAGTTGATTCTGGGCTCAACTTCAAGATGCAACTGTCGACTAAGATATTCCTTTTGGACTGCTAACAGGTTACATATTTTCCAATTATCATTTCCTTCCTCTGAAATAAACTAGAATCTTCTTCTCCCTCATATTTCCAAGTTAATAACATCCCATGTCTGGCATCAAAAGGTCAGAAGACACACAACCTTTTGGTATAATCATGACAAGACATTTATCAAACACTTTCAAGGCTATTAGGTTGGTGCAAAAGTAATTTTGGTTTTGCACTGTTGAACTTCGCTGTTTTGGAATATTTCCTTAAATAAATATGGTTATACTATACATCATTTTAATGCATGTTTCTCACTTTATGTTTTTTTGCTAATAACTTATTACTGTGTATTTTATATTTATTTTAAACTAGGGAAATGACGTTAGACAAAAAGCAAGTTCCTGCGATTTTCTTATTCAAGTTCAAAATGCGTTATAAAGCAGCGGGGACAACTAGCAACATCAACAATGCACTGGCCCCAGGAACTGGCTAACAACGTACAGGGCGGCGGTGGTTCAGGAGTCTTGCAAAGGAGACGAGAGCCTCGAGGACGAGGCGCGCAGTGGCTGGCCATCGGAAGCTGACAACAAACAACCAAGAGCATCACCGGAGCTGATCCTCACAACTACACAAGAAGTTGCCAAAGAACTCCACAACGGCCATTCTGTGATCACACAGCCTTCGAGGCAAACTGAAGCGGTGAGAGCGCTCTGAGCGCAGGCCTCACGAGGCGACCGAAAAATCAGAACGCCGTCATTGTGAAATGCTGTCTTCTCTTACTCCATGCAGCAACAGTGAACCACGTCTCGACTGGATTGACTGTGACATGCAATGAGAAGTATCTTTTATACGGCAACCGGCGACAACCAGCTCAGTGCCTGGACTGAGAAGATGCTCCAAAGCACTTCCCAAAGCCAAACTTGCACCAAAAAAATGTCAACGTCACTGTTTGGTGGTCTGCTGCCAGTCTGATCCATTACAGCTTTCTGAATCCTGGCAAAACATTACATGTGAGAAGTATGCTCAGCAGATCGATGAGATGCATCAAAAACCGCAACGCCTGCAGCTGAGGCTGCAGAAAGGACCCAATTCTTCTCCATGACAACACCTAACCATACGTTGTACAACCAAGGCTTCAGAAGTTGAATGAATTGGGCTATAAAGTTTTGCTTCATCCACCATATTCACCTGACCTCTCGCCAACCAACTACCACTTCTTCAATCATCTTGACAACTTTTTGCAGGGAAAATGTTTCCACAACCAGCAGAAGGCAGAAGAAAATGCTTTCCATGAGTTTGTATAATCCCGAAGCACAGATTTTTACACTACAAGAATATACCAACTTATTCCCGGAAACTTATTCCTCTGGCAAAAATGTGTTGATTTTAATGGTTCCTATTTTATAATAAAGATGTGTTTGAGCCCAGTTAATGATTTAAAATTCATGGTCTGAAATCGCAATTACATTTGTATCAACCTAACACTTAGGAATTCATAATACTTGGTCAGTTTTCCACACTCTTCAACAATTTTCATCCTGCATCATCCATTTACCAAATATTTACTGAGCACCTTGCATCAGGTACTGTGTCAGGTGGGGAGATAACCTGGTAAATGAGGCTGACCTCATCTTGTTGGGGAGGGGATCCTTTGGCTCTCCCCCACCATCACCCTTGGAATCATTTGTCCCTAGAAGGAGCATGCTAACTCACCTAAGAATGTCCCCTTCCCCTTCTGATCCTTCAGCCCAGAGGAGAGCTCCTCACCCACAACAGATCATCTCAAGGGATGCCTGTGGGCTCTGGGGGTTGAGATGAAGCCGGCACGGCACTCGGGATAGAATGAAGGTAACTCAGGAGTCCGTCTCTAAACATCAGGCATCATATACCCTCTATCAAAAGCCTCTTCCACATACAGACTGCTTGTTGACGTTAGATAAGCTTTCTTAATCTTCCACTGGTGTGGTGCAGTGTGTGGCATTAAAAAAGCTTCACTGGACGTGGTGGTTTCTTATACCAGATCCCAATGCCAGCAATACGTTGAGAGTTGAAGTTAATTAAACAGACCCTGGAAGGATATCTATCTGGGCCATGGGCTTTCAGCTGTCTTGTGACAGCATTTACAATACACAACCATACGCCACCAGGTTTAGAGGCACCAAGGGAGGGCCAGATGGTAAGACGCTGAGCGTAACAAGAGGAACAAAAGTTCTGGAGAAGCCTTGATTTCAGGGTAATTTTCTTTCCACTAATTACTAATCTCTCCCATGAGGTTTTTATTTTCTTTTTAACTTTTTCCGTTTCCTAATGACCTGTGCACCAGGGGATTCAACATTCTTTAGATCAAGGTTAAGGAAAGCCTCCCATGCCCCACCCCTTTTTGGTCAGGAAGAGGACAAAAGGGCCTTTGTCACAGGGGCTTTACCCATTCTCTGAGGGACTCCGGACAAACTGGATACCAGGCAGTTACTGTGTGGGCTAGCAGGGCCAAGAGAAACTAGCTGGCAGCTTCTGCTTTATCTGTTCCCAGCACATTCTGGCTGCTGCTGCTAAGTCACTTCAGTCATGTCTGACTCTGTGCAACCCCACAGACGGCAGCCCACCAGGCTCCCCCGTCCCTGGGATCCTCCAGGCAAGAACACTGGAGCAGGTTGCCATTTCCTTCTCCAATGCATAAAGGCGAAAAGTGAAAGTGAAGCCGCTCAGTCGTGTCCAACTCTTAGCGACCCCATGGACTGCAGCCCACCAGGCTCCTCCGTCCACGGGATTTTCCAGGCAAGAACACTGGAGTGGGTTGCCATTGCCTTCTCCGACATTCTGGCTAGTGCCTGTAATCTCTAGGTAGAACAATCTTAATTGTTTACCAACTCTTTCTCTTCCCTAAGACTATCACATCTTACATTAACCTTGGCTTTTACTGCTCTCCCATTTTCAATGGGCAAAAAATGAGTGCAAGGTAAGGACACAGTCTATACATATCAGTTAAAACTGCAAAGACAGACAGCACCACAGATGGAAGTTCTGAGAACAGGGTCAGGGAGCAGGACGTGCGCCACCTCCACCTCCAACAATAAATCACTTGCAGCAAGTAAGCTGTCATGTTCTTCTAATGAGTCGTCTTATGCAGCTCAGTGGTAAAGAATCTGCCTGCCAATGTAGGAGACTCGGGTTCAATCCGAGTGGGGAAGATCCCCTGGAGAAGGAGATGGCAACCCATTCCGGTATTCTTGCCTGGGAAACTCCATGGACAGAGGAGCCTGGCGGGCTACAGTCCATGGGGCCGCAAAGAGATGGACTTAAGAGATCACTTAAGATGACTTAGTGACTAAACACCAACAGTTACATCAACAAACTAGAAGGTGTGACATAAAACACACTGTCCTCCGAACAACAGTTGGTAAAGCTCCCCACCTAGTTCAGGCACCTGGGAGCTCCCGAGTACCCCCCTGTGGTAGTGTGACTGACTGTAAGGAATGCCTATTTGGTTGCCATTTCAGGCTTTCTGGAAACCCTTGGAATTTCCTAAGCTTTGAGACAATAAAGGGACACCTTATGTTAATGAGGTGACTTTCGGACTGCACCTGGAGGAGGAGACTGGTTGCCTGGGAGACACACAACGTTAGAGAAGTTGAACTTTCAGTCCTACCCCGTGACTAAGTCCTACCCTGTGGATTCAAACAATCGCCAAAGGCTAATGATTTAATAGATCATACCTTTGTAATGAAGCCTCTGTAAAAACCAAAAGGAGGGAGTTCAGAGAACTTCTGGGTTGGAGAGCTGGGGGGAGAGCGGCTGAAAGTTCTGGACCCCTCCCTGCATACCTTGCCCAGGATACCTCTTGACTTCCACCAGAGTCAAACCCTGAGGGGAATTCAGGATGGAGAAAAACAAGCGGCTCTCTAGGCTTTGGGTAACAGGCCCTAGATAAACAGATGCATGCCTAAGGGCTAAATTCAATGACCAAAAATCCTTGTCTTCCCAAGTACAGAAAAGCACTAAAATCATTGTGATGTCTCTGCTTTGTGATCACCAACAATCTTCTGATGTTTCACTACCCCCACTCCGCCCCCACCCGGAAAATACCTCACACATATTCTGGTTCCTCTCTTACCTCATCAGAGTGGTTCCTTAGCTCCATCTGTTAGACTGGCTCCAAGGCTATTGTCCTCAAGTAAGGTCCTCAAATAAAACCTAACTTGCAACTTTTAGGCTGTGCATTTTGCACCAATTGGCAATCTATACAACCATGTATGGCAAATAGGACTAAAAAACTAAATTCCCCACTAAATTAACTAAATTTAGTTGTCATTCAAATATTCTGAAGTCAGGCAACAGAATGTTGTTTTATACTGTTTATTGGGATAAACCCAATAACTCTACATGGGATCCACACCCACACACATTCTCTTTGTCTTTTCTCCAAATTTCCTCTCCCATCCCCATCATCCTGAAAGATACAGGAACTGTCCAGGGAAGGTGTTTTTGCTTTGATACCACCAAACTGAACCACAGGGAAGACAACGGTGGCTTCTAAAATAATCTCAAAACAAGTACACACGGGGAACCCCACCATCTTCAGGACAAGGTTCTGGTTTCTAAAAGCATCTCGTGTATCTGTGCTGCTTCTTCAAAGAGAAGACTTTCCACATGGTGAGTATGTAAAATTACTGTCATGTTATGCTGTAAGATTCACTCTCTCCACTGTAACTCCGAGGACTGCTCCCTACCTCTTCCTTTGGTTAAATTTCAAATATCCTAAGCATGAGTAGAAAAAACAAACAAAAAAACAAAAAATATTTGCCAGTAAGCTATTAACCAACATGTTTTTCCATGTTTATGTTATCCTCCCCCTGGAAAACATGTGCACATTATAAAGTTCAGTCCATAGTACTGTCCCAACTTCACCCTGCATTGCATGTATTAATATTTCTACTGCATTCTTGGTTACCATGATATGGAAACCAATAATTAGGTAAAGCACAACTTCCTGCCACCAAGGAAATAAACTGCCTATCCTGAGGGGCACGCAACAAAATCAACTGGCCGAAGTGTCAACATCTTCCAAAAGCGTCAAAAGTTTCCAAAGTCAAAGAAAGACTAAGGGACGGTTCCAGACTGTCTAGAAGATGAGACATGACAAGTGAGCGCCGCCTGAGCCTCAGCTGGCTCCCTGAGCCAGGAAGAGCCCTGGAGACAGCGGACACCAGGGGATGGGGCCTGAGGCTCAGGCGGTCATGACACAGAGGTCTCAGTGTCCTGACTGTGGTGGTACAGAACGCCCTCGTTGGGAACTAACTTGGGGTCCGGTGGTTAAGACTCGAGCTTTCACTGCCACTGACCCGGGTTTGATCCCTGGTTGGGGAACTAGATCCCACAGGCCATGTGGTGCAGGAAACAAAAGAGAGAGAGAGAGAGAGAGAGAGAGAGAGAGAGAGAGAGGAAGCTCTCCTTTGCAGGAACCACACACTGAACAGTGTTTGGGGGGTGGGGAGATGTCAGACTGGCAAGTTTGTCTCAGTGGCTGCACTGTACAGGCAAGTCTTCTCTAAGTCTGTGACTGTTTCAAAATCTGAATCTTTAAAAGATGAGGTGGCTCGTTCTATGTTGATATGATACATGGATCTTAGTCCCCAACCAGGGATCAAACCCGTACCCCCTGCAGCAGAAGGGTACAGTCCTCACCACCAGACTGCCAGGGAACTCCCTATCAGGCTCCTTCTATGCAAAAAATTAAGAAAAACATATACGCAACTGCTTGAACATGCAGAGTCTCTGAAAGGATGCCTAGGAACCTGATGACACTTGCCACATCCAGGGAGGGAAGTGGAGTGGCTGAGGGCAGACCTCGTTACACACCCTTTTGAAATCTGAACCACTCAGACAAATTAAAATGGCTTTTATTTTGGTTTTGAGGATTACCTGAATTATGGAGCCTAAATTTGTTTGTACATATCCAACAGAGAGGAATGAAGACCTACTTAAACTAGTTATCTCAGAAGACTAGGCGGGTGGATGAGGGCTGGGGAATTTTTATTTTCTGATACATGTTTCTATAAAGCCTGTGTTTTTAGAGATGATTATTACTCCTATGTTCAGAAAAAATATTAAAATACTTAGTAGCTACCAGTTACCACTATACAAGGAAACTCTTTATACTAGGGTTCAGATCACTCTGTCCATGACCCTGTGGTCCTCGGCTTCCTTCAGGCCCAGCTTTCTCAATCCCTCCAGAGGGGAGTGTGAGGAAAAGGCTTTTTCCTTCTCTGTACACTCACACACTGAATATTGCTGGTCACCAAATGTGTAGGGGTTTTCCCATACATATGTAATCCTCAGAATCTTGGGGATACCACCTGGGTGTCCTACAATTCAGTTCAATTCTGACTGTCTCTCTCTGGACATAGCAACAGATCCCACAGCTTAAGGGCCCAGTCCCATGAGACCACCCTTCCTCATTTCAGATACAGGCAAGTCCAGACTGTCACATGTCTAACCAACCTGCTATAAATTGAGAGGTTCCTAGGACCCACTCCTCAGCTCCGATTAGTTTGCTAGAACAAATTAATAATAACAATAAAAGAACTCAGGGAATTCCCTGGAGGCCCAGTGGTTAGGCCTTGGTGCTTCCACTGCAGGGGGGCACGGGTTCGATCCCTGGTCGGGGAACGAAGATCCTGCATGCTGTATGGGAGAAGGGTGCAGAGCGTCCCCACCCTTGCTGCGTGCACCCACCTCCAAGCACCCCCATCTTTACCAACCCAGAGGCTCTCCACACCCAGGCCTTCTGGGGGTTTTATGGAGGCTTCATGATACAAGCTGGAGAAGGAAATGGCAACCCAATCCAGTATTCTTGCCTGGAGAATCCCAGGGACTGGGGAGCCTGGTGGGCTGCCGTCTGTGGGGTCACACAGAGTCGGACACGACTGAAGCGACTTAGCAGCAGCAGCAGCAGCATGATACCAGCACAAGTTGTCAAATCACTGGCCACTGGAGATGGATTCAACTCCTCTCCAGAGGTCACGGGGGCTAGGTTGAAGGCACCCACCCTCTCATCACAAGGTTGGTACCCCTAGGAACCAGCCCCCATCCTGGGTTTATCCAGAGGATTTCCAAAACTCCCTGCGTTAACATAATTCAGCAGTAACTGAAAGGGGCTTGTTCTGAATAATGGAGATACTTTGACTGCTATTCTCAAGGAGGAAGTTCCAATAGTTTTAGGAGCTCTGCACCAGGACAGGAAGACCAAATCCATATTTCTTATTATAAATCTCAGAATCAGAGGCCAAACAAGAGTGGCCACGTGGAACTGACACCCAAGGATTAAAAGTGACACATGTAAAGCGCCCGCACGCTGCTGGCACCCAGGGCCCTGCTTATTACTCACACAGTCTCAGGAACTAATCTGATCAAGACGTGAAGGTCTAGATTTTTCAAAGACACCAACCCCATTCCCAGTGAGGGGCTGAGAGGAGATAACCCCACAGGGAAGTTCACGCTCAGATATGCCAGGATTCTCCCAGGGCCTGTCCTGCCTGGAGAGGAGTAGATGGCATCTGCGATAGAGACAATGTGGGGGGACCCGCCACTGTGCAAAATTAAATGTAGTGCAAAAACTGGCCTCAGTGGACACGAACCAGAGCGGCCATGCACTGCATTTAACAACAAAGGCTTTCAGTAGAGCTGAACAGACAGACCCTGGCAAACGCAGGGAGGATATTTTGTCCTTGAGGATTTTCAAGCTTGGAAAAGATGATCAAGTAAACACACAGCAGTTAAGTGCAGTGTGACAATCATGGGAAGAATTCCAAAAGACCGAATGTGTGTGTATACATGCGAACGCATACATATACATCATGTTTTAGAAAGCAGTTAACATGCAAACACATTTACAATTTAGAGAAAACTGAAGTTCACATGAAGAGACAGCACGTTACATCACTAAGATTTTTAGAGGAAAAGGGATAAAGTCATGCTCTTACCTGGGTATTGTCTGTATAATGAAAATATCTTGGCCACGAACAGATTCTTTTATTTCAACTCTTGTTTCTGAAAAATAAAAATGTTCTATAGTTTTAAGGAAAAGTACTTCATGCTGTAAGAATGCTGTAAGAATGCTGTAAGAAGGAAAAAAAAAAAAGAATGCTGTAAGAATTGGGCAGCAATCGAGGGAGTAAAGGGAAATCTAAGCCAACACTTGGAGGGAGTGAAGGGGAATTTAAACAACAACTCACCTGAAAAGACCCTGATGCTGGGCAAGACTGAAGGCGGGAGGAGAAGGGGACGACAGAGGATGAGATGGTTGGATGGCATCACCGACTGGGTGGACATGAGACTGAGCAAGCTCTGGGAGTTAGTGATGGACAGGGAAGCCTGGCGTGCTGCAGCCCATGGGGTCGCAAAGAGTCAGACATGACTGAGCGACTGAACTGAACTGAAATCAACACTTCACTTAGTGCACCAAAATAAATTCTTAGTAGATCTGGGAATGACATGTACTGATGTAAAAAAAAAAAAAATAGTCAAGCTCAGGGGAAAATAAGCCAAAAATAGACTTTGAAGGCAAAAGCAATAATCAGGCCTATGTAAAAATCTCAGGGTCCAGAAAAGAAAATCCATCACTAAATAAACACAAGATGCTCAGGGAAAAGCATTCAGCAATTAAAGAGGCCAAAGGTTAATATCCTTATTATTCTTTTTAACAAAGCCATGGTCTCCTCTGTGTCAGGCCCTGAGCTGGGGTCCCAAAGAGGAGGAAATGGACCAAGGGGAAGACTGACCCAGGAGAGACAATGCAATGCCAAAGACTGGCAAACACTCCAGGACAATGTATAGGACAAAGCGCAGCCACGAGAAAGGAGAAACAGGCCTGGGAACGATGGCCTCACCGCGGGCCGGACCATGTAGTGGGAACGAAAGTGTGGGACAGCGGGGGCAGGGGGTACCAAGCAGAGGGGGTGTCACTGTGCATCTGGAAACAGACTGAAAGAAGAGAAGGAGACAGAGAGGAGGGCAGGGAGCCAACTAGGACCAGACTGAGTCTGGGTTTTCTTCCAAAGTAGACAGGAGAACCACTGGAGGATCCGTGTGATCACCGGCTACAGTGTAAAGAGAATGGTGGCAAAGCAGGAGAGGCTACTTGGGGAAAGCCACTCCATGTTGGTTTCTCTTTTTCCCCCATTTATTTTTATTAGTTGGAGGCTAATTACTTTACAATATTGTGGTGGTTTCTGCCATTCATTGACATGAATCAGCCATGGATTTACATGTGTTCCCCATCTAGGTTGTTTTTTAAGGAGTCCAGGGAAGTGACAGACAGTGTGCTGGACCAGAGCAGCAGCAGTGGAGACAGTGAGAGAAGCAGGGAGATTTCAAATGGATTCCTGAATCGGGGCACACAAGACATGCTGATGCGCGTGATGAAAGATGAAGCAGGTGAGATGGGCAGAACCTAGGTCCTAAAGGGCCCCAACATGATTGCTAAGGAGACTGAACTCTGGCCTATAAAATGTGAAGCAGAGATAAGTAAAAAATGTTTGTATTGTGGAAATAACCCGTTGGAGGGGAGTAGAACAAACTAAAGGCTAAAAATGCAAGTAAGAAGACCTGTTAAGAAGCTACTTTGACAGCAAGAGAGAGAGGAGGCCTAGAACAGTGATGGGAAGATGGAGAAAAAGGTCCTCCCTAAACCTCCCTGCTTTCCTCGAATGCTTCATTTATGAGATCTCCAAATGCCATCACAATGAACCAAATCTGTTACTGTTAAATAGCCTATCTCACCTACATGCACTCACCTTCATTGGAAGTCACACTTCCAATGAAGGAGACTGGAGTTCAATTCCCGGTTGGGGAACTAAGATTCCCACATGCTGCACAACTCAACCAAAAAATAAACAAATTAATTGAAAAAGAAGAATGAAGGCCCTTTTTAGAAAAACTCCAGTTCACAGGCATGTGTTTAACAACAACAACAAAAATAAGCATCTCCTGACTTGCCCTGACAGGAAAGCTTCTGAAGTCACCAAGTTAACAGCTGTTGAGTATGGAAACTGGATTAAGGGTTTCTGGGGGTTAATTATAACACAGATGTAACTTGCACACACTCCAGAACGCACGCTTTACATTACTGTCCGATACTTGGCTTTTTTAGCTCCCCAAACATCAGTTCCATCTTAATTATCTCCTGGGCAAACACAGAAACATGAATCCAAGGCTTTCAACTTTGCAAAAATAATTCCCAGCTGGGGGTTTATTCCTGGAACACGGCTATCAACAAAGTGCCTTCAAGCAGTATTATTTCATGTTCCAGCTCTCCCTGGAAACCCAGCAGGGGATTTCCCTGGCGGTCCAATGGCCCTCCATGCTTCCACTGCAGGAGGTGCGGGTTCCTTCCCGGGCTGGGAATGAAGAGTCCCACATCCTCCACCTGGTTCGGAACAAAAGACTCAGGTGGCAACAAAAGGTGGTGACTAACCCAGGGTAAGCTTTGATAAGATTTGAGAGAAAAAATGAGAGATAAAACTAATTCAGAGGTTTTTAAAGTAAGTCATTACCTATCTAGTACAGATGGCTCCTAACACCATTTGATGACTTAGTGAGACAGATAAACGTAGAACGTATATATCAAATACAGCAAAATAAGGAAGAAAAATCTCCTCCATCACTTTTTTCATTCTAAAATAACAAGATATTTGCATTACCTTGGAACAACAGGAAAGAAGACTTAAGGAGAAAATAAGAAGTCAAGGTTTAGAAGTACTGAAAGCCTTCCAGCCCTACTGTTAAAGAGCAACAGATTTCTGTGTTAAATATGAGTAACACTCGCCTTTTAAAAACATGCCAGTCAATTAAACGGAGCTTGAAGGACAAAGAATGTTTAAGAAGTTTAACTTACCTCCATTGGTCTCTTGATAAACCACAGACTTCCCCAATTCAGCACCAAGACGCCTAAAGGGAGAAAAAAAAGCAATTAAAGCTCTTTTAGGAGCATTTAACCATTCTTAACCACTGGACCATCAGAGAAGTCATGCTTCCAATGAAGGGGACTGGAGTTCAATTCCCAGTCAGGGAACTACAATCCCACATGCTGCATAACTCAGCCAAAAAATAAACAAATTAATTGAAAAAGAAGAATGAAGGCTCTTGTTAGAAAAACTCCAGTTCACAGGCATGTGTTTAACAAAAAGACTACAATAACTACACCAGCATTCTCTTACAAAAAAAAAAAATTTATAAAATTTAACTCATTAAGAACTAAAAATCCTGTCATTCCATGAGCAGCTTCCAGCGCTCACAATTCTGTAACACACTGCTTTACTGGGAAGAGCCCACAACCAAAGTTTAACATCTACTTCCATCATTTCTCGAATAATAATTGTCTTGCAAAATTGATGCCAAATAAACACGTGGTTAGCAGCAATAACTCAAAAAACACAAGCCAAAGGCAAATGCCTCAATTGTCAAAAGCATCAGACTTCCGTGTCATTAACCAAACGCAGTATGAATCTTGTTTGGATCCCGATTAGAACAAACCAAGTGGAAAACTCATTTCTGAGACAATCTAGGAAATATGCTTCCCTCGTGGCTCAGATGGTAAAGAACCTGCCTATAATGGAGGAGACCCAGGTTCAGGCCCTGGGTCAGGAAGATCCCCTGGAAAAGGAAATGGCAGCCCACTCCAGTATTCTTGCTTCCATGGACAGAGGAGCCTGGTGGGCTACTATCTGTGGGGTCGCAAAGACATGACTGAGTGACTAGCACACACAGTGAAATATGCACAAGAACTAGACATTAGGACTAGACAAGAGAGTAGACATATAGGAATTAATGGCGGGTTTGGTTTGTTTTCAGTTCTTATTGGTCAGTATTACCATTTTTATGAGTGAAATAAGGGTTGTTGATAATGGTTGTTGTTTATGTTCTGCAACCTGTTTAAAAACACTCCAGCCAAGTACACAACAGAACATTACTCAGTCTTAACAAGAAGTGAGATTCTGGTCCACGCTACAGCACGGAGGCTGTGCTGTGTGCTCGGATGCTCAGCTGTGTCTGACTCTTTGTGACCCCATGGACGGTAGCCCGTCCAGGTTCCTCTGTCCATGGGATTCTCCAGGCAAGAATACTGAAGTAGGTTGCCATGCCCTCCTCCAGGGGATCTTCCCAACCCAGGGATGTGGACAGATTCTTTACCATCTGAGCCACCAGGGAAGCCCACATTATTGATAAACCTTGGTTGAAAAAAAAAGATTCTAAGTAAAAAAGTCAGACACAGAAATGCAAACATTATATGAGTCCATGTATAGGAGGACCTTAGAACGGGAACATTCACAGTCACAGAAAATAGAACAGAGGTTACCAGGGACTGGGTGGGGTGGATAAAGGGGAGTTAGTACTTAAAAGCATACAGAGTTCCTGTTTGAAATGATGAAAAAGATCTAGAAATGAACAGTGCTGATAATCACACAACACTGTGAATGTACTTAATGCCACTGAATTGCACACTTAAAAATGGTTAAAACTTAAAACTTTTCTGGAACAATTTTTTCAAGAACCAAATATAAGACCAAGGCAAAACCACTGACTATTTAATTCTGCCCTCCCCTCTCTGGTTTCTCTCAGCAAGGTCACTGTGGTAAATCTGACCCAAAATAAACAAACACAAGCTTTATATTTAAAATTAAATGTTTTAGTTGGCCTCAAAAAGACAAATAATCAGTGGTCAGAAATGGAAACTAGGTAGTAGACTGCAAAAGGACTGTGTGTTTTTTTAAACTCTTCTAATCTCATTTAAAACTAACTGAAAAGAACACAGGCAATACTGAGATAATATCACTGAAGTTTCCCCTTTCTTCTATATTTTTCATCTAGAATTTTAAAATATATTCATGCCATTACTTACAAACTCTGAAAACTCCACAGAACTCTAGTAAGTTGTTTAAAATGTGAGAATGACTCTAAAAGTTAAAAAACAAGCTTATTTATTTTTTTAACAACTTATTTGCAAAGGGCTCAGAAGGTTCTTTCTCTACAATAGGACTCTGGAACTCTCTACAAGAGCCAACTAGAAAAGAGGCCATTTAGTAAGCATGTATTATTCAGAGGGCCACTATGAACCTCTGCTCTGCTAGGCACTTGAACGCATGAACCATTATTTGGTTCATGTTCACAATGTTCTGGGTCCAGTAGAAGGAACTGTCTCTATTTTACCAATGAAGTTAAGGAAAATCAAGTCTCTTGCCCAAGGGCAAGACGGGCAAGGTCCTAAGACCCCCAAAGGCCACTCGAGGCTGGAGGCTTCCTCAGGTGAAAAAGCAGACTTAAGACTGATCGAACCTAACTGACTTACAGACTACGGTTAGACCTGTCGTTCCAATCATAAGCTGCGATAAATCTGCTCTCCTGGGGTTGCCTTGTCCTCACTGCCCTCCCCTACACGTCTGCTTCAGTCCGTGCATCTTGGGCCTCGGGGGTCTTTCACTTCCAAGGCCGCCCCCTGCCCCATCTACTGCACCCGATATTGTAACTACGTGCCGGCCTCCGTCTCCCAGGGTGGGGAGACTTGGGAACGGCGGCGATCAGATTCAGAGGCCAACTCCAACCGTGGGAAAAGGAGCCAAACCCAGAGCCGCCCCGGTTCCCACAAAGCTCTAATCTGGGGGTGGGGGTGGGGTTCCACTGCCTGGGAGGTGGGAGTGGGGAGCCGAAAGCAGGGCGGGCGCTCCAAGGACCCGAGGGGTGGGCTGGGGGAAAAGCCAAAAGTCGGCCAGCCCAACGCGTTTTCAGCTGCAAAGTTGGGGTGGGGGCGGCAGGATGAAGGGGCCAAATCACCCCTCGCCCCGGTCGGGGGATGTGGAGGCAGAGGAGCAAGGACGGTCTCCCTGAAAGGAAGGGCCCCCTAGGACATCCCCGTCCCCCGCCCCTTACTCGGTGATGCGCTTGGCCAGCTCGGTGCAGGCGGCCGTGGAGTTGGCAGAGAAGACTCGATAGCCGGTGCGGGCGGCGTTCATGGCCGGGCGAGCGGCGGGGCAGGCACGCGGGGCGCGGAAAGCGGAGGACACGGAGAGCGGGGGCAGCAGCAGCAGCTTCCTGGGCATCGTCCGGCCCGGGGGCGCGGTTACAGCCGGCCCGCGAGGGGCTGCACCCGGGGGTGGTTTTGACGGAGGCGGCCGCGAGGCCAGCGCAGCGAAGGCGCCGAGAAAACCGACACGGGAGGCGGGGGAGCGGGGGAGAGTCTCGAGACCCCCAACTTCCTTGTACCTAAGGCCACTCGCTGAAGAATCAGGCGCGACGAGAGAGCAAAGCAACCTGCGCCGCCGATCACCTCAAAGATAGGGACGAGGGCACCGCCCCCTCTGGGAATCCGAAAAGGCGCAGCTAGAGCGCCCGCACGGTCGCCATCTTAGATAAGGGCAGGGCGGTGGGCAACTTTCCACAAGCTTATTTTTTTCCTAGGAAGGCATTAAAGATTCGTTTCGCCACTTTGATCTTGTCGCCCCCACGGGCGTTCTTTTGCTCTCACGTTCTTGGGCGGTTCAGGCTGACTTTTTAGTGGTACCAGCCTGTCCAACTTTTTCCTGCCAGGATCCAAAATGTCTGCCTCTGCGCTGGTTGACGATCTAGCCCTGAGCCTCTATGGTAACACTGCGCGAGAGCCCTGCGAGGCGCATGCGCTGGGATGGTAGGTTGCCTGGGATACTAAAATGCCCCAAATGTGGTGTATACCTAAACCAAGTGTTTATTCCCCGAACAGACTCCAATCTGGAATCTGCACGTTAGGCAAGGCTCTCTGAACGAGTAAAAGCATTCTTGGCAGTCTTTGCTGTCGGTCAGAAAAGGCTTTCTCTGTGCCCCTGCCCCTCGAAGACCCATTCACGTGACATCTGCTCCACTGTGTCTTTCTAGATGCTTCAGCCACAGTAAGCCACCCTCGCCCGCTGGACAGTACCATGCACGGCACCGTGTATGGTTGCTTCTATTTTAATTTAGTTTTGTGAACGTCTGACTTTCCAACTAGAATGTAAGTCCTCTTAGGGCAAGATCGTGTAACACTTAGTGCTTTTGTCTTTCCTGGTGTCTGGGGCGGTGTTACAAGTTCCGGAGGCACACAATCAATTCCCGTCAGTTAAGATCCAAGAAGAAAGTTAAAGGACGAGGAAACTTGTGAGTTTATCAGTTGCCCCGGGATTGGGGAGGGAGGCTGATCCGTTTCTCCTTATTCTGAGGACCCTGCCTGTTGTGACATTAATCCTGAGGGGGCACTTGATTGTGACTCTTGTGCTGTGAAGCCTCCCAAGCCACAAGCTTCAGGATTTGGAAACTGAACTGCCCCAGGGCCTGTTAGCAGCCTGACCCACATTCCCGCTGCCTCTGCAGAATTACTGACACATTTTTCTCTTTCTTTTTTAAAGCAATATATATTTGTAAATATTTATTTACTTTGGCTGCCCTGAGTCTCATTTGCGGCACTTGGGATCTTTAGTTGCGGCAGGCCAACTCTTAGTTGAGGCGTGTGGGATCTAGTTCTCTGCCTAGGGAGTGAACTCAGGCCCCCTGTATTGGGAGTGTGGAGTCTTAGCCACTGGACCAGCAGGGAAGTCCCTCACGTCATGTCTATCTATTTATATCTCGCACAGAACCTCTCAGACCTCAAACTGAACCCATCTTTGTTTTTGTGATTCTCTCCAAACTGTCTGGCTCCTCTGTTCCTTCTGTGAGTGAACATAACATGAGGTTCCCAGTCAATAAAGCGCAAGAGAAGCCTTGGCACTTTCCTTTTCTTCACTTTCTATATCTATCCATTTATCCATATATTAACATTGACTGAGCATCTGCTGTTTGCCAGGCCCATTTTAAGTAATTTGGGATACTTTAGAGAAAAAACAAAAGGCAATTCCTACCCTGGCGAAGAACATCTATCAGGGGGACAGAGATTGAAAAATAAACATAATAATTGAGTAAATTATATAGTATGTTAGAAGTTGTATTTATTTCCTATTGCAGCGGTAACATATTACCACAAAGGGGCTTAAAAGTAAAAAAGTAAAGTGTCAGTCACTCAGTTGTGTCCGACTCTGCTATCCCATGGACTCTAGCCTGCCAGGCTCCTCTGTTCATGGGATTTGCCAGGCAAGAATACTGGAGTGGGTTGTCATTCCCTTCTCCAGGGGATCTTCTCAACCCAGGAATCAAACCCTGGTCTCCTGAATTGCAGGTGGATTCTTTACCATCTGAGCCACGAAGTGGCTTAAAATGACACAAACTTATACCATCTTATAGCTCTGGAGGTCAAAGGTCCTACAATGGAGGTGTTGGCAGGCTGATTTCCTTCTGAAGGTTCGGGAAGAGAATTCATTTCCTTGCCTTTTCCACTCTCTAGAGACCACCTCTCTCCTTGGCTAGTGGTCCCCATCCTCCATCTTCAAAACCAACAACCTAAAAAAGAAAAAAAAAAACAAAAAACCCGACAACCTAGCATCTTCAAATCTCTTTCATCTTTGCTTCCATTCATATATCTTTACCCACTCTGACATCCCTTCCCCCTTATGGACTTTTGTGATGATACTGCATCCAACTGGAGAATCCAGTAAAATCTCCCCATCTCAAGGTCCTAACCTTATCTGTGAAGTCACTTTTACCGTGTAAAGTAATCGACTCCCTGGTTCGGTACTATAAAAGAAATTTTCACATATTGAGGTATGGGAAGTCATTCTGGCTTATACACGAGTTAAGAGTTAACTTGAATTTTATACTAACTCTAACAGTCTGTTAGTGGCCTATGAAAATTACAGTGTACATCTGTTTTAGTTATTAAGGAAAAGGGCACACTGACCAGAAGAGTCGCTCAGTCGTGTCCAACTTTTTTCGACCCCATAGACTGTAGCCAGCCAGGCTCCTCTGTCCATGGGGTTCTCCAGGCAAGAATGCTGGAGTGGGTTGCCATTTCCTTCTCCAGGGGGTCTTCCTAAACCAGAGATTGAACCCAGGTCTCCCACATTGCAGGCAGATTCTTTATCGGGGCACCGTAAAGAATGTACATGTTAAAAATAAAGATTGTGGAGAAGGAAATGGCAACCCACTCCAGTATTCTTGCCTAGAAAAGTCCATGGACAGAGGAGCCTGGTGGACTGCAGTCCATGGGGTTACATGACTGAGCATGTGTACATGAGGGTGGAGGGAGATGGGTTGGTAGCAATAAAGTGGTAGAACTAAAAAAAAAAAAATTTAAAAATAAAGATTGAAAATAAAATAAAGATTGAATGCCTCCCTTCTGGGGTGCCAATGTTGGTTACTCTTTGAATGATAAGACTCCCTTCCCAGGCACAAGGCCATGAGTCACTGTGTTCCTGCTGATCTGTTTTTTTTTTAATTTTGAAAGAGTGTCTTGCTGACTTGTTTGATGTTCTTTGTCCTAATAAGACATAAAACCATGCTTCTCTGGAGCAGTTCCTCAGAGTTATCTGGTAGGCTGTGTTCCAGCCTATAGTTTGGCTCAAATAATACTCTTTTCTTTTCCTATTATAGTTTTTTGGTTGTTGTTTTCCGTTTTGCTTTGTTCCGAGGCGTATGGAACTTCCCTGACCAGGGATCAAACCATTGCCCCCCCCCCCCCC